GTGGCCTTAGTGAGTTAGCAGCAAAAAATTCAATTTGTTATTGTAATATTATCTTTTTCAATAAAAAAAATAATTATTTTTCGCAAGTTTATTGCATGTCTTGAAAAAAAATTTTTAATTTCCAAATTAAAAATGACACGCTATTGTTAAAAAAATCGAACAAAGCAGCTACTATTTATTTTGCAATGTGCCAGTAGATTGGTGGATACATAACTATATAAATAACCATAATATAAATAACCAAAACTTATTTAAATAACCATAAATTGGTTGATAGATGAGCATACATTTCGATGCTAACGTGTTCAGGCTTATCAATAATATAAACTAAGTTATATTACTAAGTTATATTAATATAAACTAACTTATAAAGTGTTGTTATGTTGGACCAAAAACTAAATTTTGCAGAACACGGCATATTAGCCTGGTTCAATTCGGAACAAGTGTTCCTTTATGAACTAGGTTTTGATTCTTCCCTTCGTTTTAATTTGTTCTTCTTCAGAGCGTTGTACCCAAGGATAAAATTACCCCTAATCTTATACTATGGAAGCATTTTTAGAAAAATTTTTGTGAGAGTTTTTGTTAAATGCGTTAGCAAAATCAAGAAAAAAATTATCAATTAAAAGCTTACTCTCATGTTATGTAGATCCACAAACTAATTTAATATTGATGATTCATAATCTTGCTTTAAACTATATTTCTTCATTATTTTACACGGTACAGAAGAGATAAACATCAATTTGTATTTAGTTGGCTAAATCTTGAAGCCGTTTTTAAGCAATGGAGTTACAATCATTACAAGTTACTCTTTGATCCGCAAACATTCATACTATTTTTTTGTAAGTAGTATTACTCAGTATTATTCATTTGTAGTATTATGTAGTTATTGACTCTTCAAATAGTACAATATGCATATTTGTATTTATATAGTTATTTTGTTGTTTCTAGTTGTTTACCCTTCCTCGATAATTGTTTACCCTTCCTCGATGTTTAAAGTTATTTCTTTAAGTAATTCGTTTACTTATTAAAAAAAAGTCTGTCGGTTTGCTACTGTTGGTCTGGTAGGTTTTAGGTTCTAAGTTCTACCATCTGGTTTTAAGTTAATCAGGTCTGGCAAAGTTGTAATCTACAAACTAATTAATTATCCTGTATATAAAACTGAAACACACGCCGTTGCACTATCAGGTGCAATTAAAGTCTTTGCTTACAACCAGATTCTTTGCTTATATATGCTTACAGTTTCAATCAGTCTTTGTTTACAGATATTTACAGCTTAAAAGTGTTGCTGATTCACTGCGTTAGCCATCACAGTGAATGAGCATCATTCTAAAACTTAATGACAACATCATTCTAAAGCTTAAAAAGTTTTAGTTATATCTATTGTTTTTACAAGCGGAAACGAATTTGGGGTAAAGTTTTTCAAAGCAATCTTTTGTTAATAATTTTTTTTTTTGCCAAACAAATATTGATCGGAAGTCAACGTTAATAAAAAAGTGGCTCGCACCCCCTAGTGGCCTCACTAGGAGTGCAGGTCGCACCTTGGGATACCATCACAAGCTGACACAGAGGGGTGATAGCAAATGAAAAAAATACAAACTTTTTTTCTAAAAGAACATTTAAAAAAATTTTTTTTTATAATTTTTTAGAAATTTGAAATCCGTGTCGCCAGCCCTATTAGTGAAAGTTTAGAGGAGTGACACCAAAAGTTTACTGCATTGGTTGACACCAACCCCAGCAACGTCACTGACACGAAGTGTATTACTTTACATAGCTGAGTCTATTTTCATAATACATGAAACACATATATACAGTTAGAACTAGACTCAGTTGTGTTTAGTAATATACACTAATTACAAAAGTTACTTTTTTACATTACTTTTTTAAAGTTTAAATCTTCAAAGATATTTTGTACTATGAGAATAGTAAAAAATATTTTCACAGTTGTTTTTATGTGTAAAGTTTTAAAAAAAGAGTATACTTCTTTTCTTTTTCAAATAAGAATAATACCAAAAATTACTTTGGTATTATTATATATTTTTTATGTTTTTTATTATTAATGCCTTTGTTCATTATGGTTATCATTATTATTTACTGTTTTATCATTATAATTTTTTTACTTTTAATATTTAAACACTTTTTGACATTTTTGATAGTTTTATCAACTTAAAGCAAATTAGATTGCGCATATCTTGTGCGCACGCGCGCATCTGCGCTTGATTTAAAGTTTAAGTTTCCAAAGATGCTACACTGGATTAAGATATAAAAAATTTTAAAATATTAAAAAAAAACATTTTTTTATATATTTTTTAAATAACTACACATAATATTTTTCCGAAAAAATCTTTATCTTTGTATTAAAAGTTTGTTGAGTTTAATTCAAAAACCTTTTCAACTCAAGTAATCATATTATTATCTATTTCTTACTGTTAATCTTATCAATTATTTTAAGTTATTTTATTATTGTTTGATTTGTTGAATGTAACATTATTTATTTAAAAAGTTTTTTATTTTAAGAAATGATATAAAAACTATTGTCATAAATAATTAAAATCAAGTGTATATACATTAAGGTTACAATTAAATTAAATATTAAAAATAACACAATAAGAAGCATCTGTAAAAAAAAAAAAAAGATAAAATAGAATATTAACATATAATTTAAGGAGGGATAGCTAGTAATTTGTTTATACGTCCACCCATTACAAACTAGTTTAGTTGAGATATAAGTTAGTTAAACAGTGGTGTTTGTCCAGTGCAGCAACAACGACAGGATCAGCAATTCAAAGGCCCCCTAAAAATGTTAGGACATTTTTTAGAATGACTTAACAAATTAAAACTTGCACAAATGTAGAAAAAACTATTAATATTTTTCTATTTACCCTTGAGATACTGGTATGGTTTTAAACCTAGATCGTGTAAGGTATTCAAAGGAATTGCGGTATACTTTAATTGTTTTTTCCTTTTTTCTTTTATTATTTATCTACTCTTTTTAATTAGCAATGATTGTAACTTATTAATTGTATTAGCATTAGCAGGTGTAATTGAAATGATAAATTAACGCATAGTTGCAAACATAAAAAAAAAATTATCATTTGATTTATTTCTCAATCTGTCTATAATTTATATTTTTAGGCACCTCCTGCGTTGACGTACGAAAATAAAAATAAAATAATTATTTCCTTTTATTACATTAGTTTTTCGGTTGCAAGAACAAAACTGTAATTGCAGTGCAAGTCAGACCGCAATACTCTAATTTAATTTTAACAAAACTCGTTTTAATTTTTATTTTTTATTTGTTATTGTTGCTGATATATATAATCTATGCAATTTAACAATAAATAGTTTTGAAAAGTTTAAGAAAAGCGCAAGAGGTGCGCAAGAAGTGCAGATTTCAAAATTATTGGTGTTTTTATAAAGTTTCTTTATGTCGACAAACATATAACCCCCCTCATCCAATAAAAACTATTTCTTTTGATTCGTGGAGGAGTGGTGTTTTTCGCGCTTGTTATCACTTTTTATTTTGTTTACATTTTTGTTTGTAAAACTTTGTGTTATTGGGTCACATATACCGACAAAGTTTGTTGTACAAATGTTTTTTATTTTCCATTCAATTTTTTTCTTTTTACATAAAGGTTTATTTTAAATATACTTGAATGATTTACAAAATCATTCAAGTTGCTACATACGGTGTCAAGTACTTTTATATCATTTATTGAATAAGCAGTAGTTTACGTTCTTTTGAAGTTACTTCTTTATATTGTTTTATTTTTTATTGTTTTGTATGAGTTTTCTTACAGATAAATACCTGTTTGCACGAATTTGGTTGCTCTGCATTTTTCATTTTATTAATATCTTACTTCAAATGGGACCAAGTTTGTATAGTGTATTAAACACGTGACTCACATGTTCACACAATGCGAGCATACAAATTTTGTATTCAACTTTATAACTAAATTTGTATTTATGTTTCTTATTTTTTATTTTTAAATCTAAGTTCATTTGGTTTAAATATTGATATACAAAATTGAAATCTCTATGTTGACATTAATATATATATATATATATATATATATATATATATATATATATATATATATATATATATATATATATATATATATATATATATATATATATATATCTATATATAAATATATATCTATATCTATATATATATCTATATCTATATATATATATATATATATATATATATATATATATATATATATATATATATATATATATATATATATATATATATATATATATATATATATATATATATATATATTCATTTGGTTTAAATATTGATATACAAAATTGAAATCTCTATGTTGACATTAATATATATATATATATATATATATATATATATATATATATATATATATATATATATATATATATATATATATATATATATATATATATTAGGGTTAGCATTCGGCAATGCTGACCTAAAAGTGTTTGAGGTCAGCAAAAAATTGTCTGGTTTCTATGTTTTGTGGTAACCCCTTTGTGTCAAATTTTTTTTGCCAACCTGAGGCTAGCCTCTGACAGTTTGAGGTCGGCAATTTATTGCCAACCTCATTTAAACCTTATTACAATGCTTTTTATTGCCTGTACTATATAAATAGATCAAATTTTATGCGGTAGTGGTGTAGTGGTAGAGCGCTCGCTTCATAAACGAGTGGTTCCGAGTTCAATCCCCACCACGTCCCTGGTAGTACCGCGCTCAACTCGTTTCTCCGCGCAGCGGCCTTGTTCGTCAAGGTTCGTGTTTCGGAGTTATAGAGTTGAGAGAGGGTTATAGCCACAAAATAAGTAGCCTCCTCGTCTGTAGTGGCCTTCTCGGCCTTGAGGAGGTGAAGTAAAATAAAAAAAAAAAAAAAAAAATAGTGTTAATAATAATAATATTAGAATAATTTACTTTTTTTAAAAAAAAACATTTGATTTATCTTAATGTTTTTATATTGTTTAAGCTGCGTTTTTTTTTTTAGGTTATTAATTATAAATGGCATTTGGTGCATCATCTGCAACAGATGGGCCAAAGGAATCTAAAAGAAAAAAAGTTGACAACAATGATAAAAAAAAAGTCAAATTGTCACAATATGCCTGCAAAGTATTTTGCCTTGATGGCTCAGAAATTTCATCTAATGTTGATGTATGTTTGTTTTAAAAATAAATGTTGGTTTCTATTTTAAACATTAAACTTACTTTTCTTTTGCACTTTTTCAAGTCTATTATTATTTATATTGTATTCCAAATTTTAATAAATAACAACAACACAATATTTATTCTCCTTTATAATCATTATGTTAAAAATAATTATAAATAAAAAAAATAATATTTAGAATGCCGATGGTTCTAAATTATCATAACAATAGTTAAATTAATTAAGAAATGATTATTAAAAATGATTTTACTCAAACAAAAATTTAAACAAAGGAGTATTATAATGGTATACCATATATATAGCCATCTTAATGAAAAGATTAACATGCTATACTTTATCAAAAATCTTTGGTATGTTAATAGCAATAGTTCTATCTCACTGCTTTCATCTACTGCATTATAAAATCCTCTTAAAAAACCAACAAATAAAGGTTCAGTTCTAATGGTTTCAACAGTTCTAATGATTTCAACAGTTCAAATAATTTCAACAGTTAACAAGTCAGCAGCAGAACAAGAGGATCAAAAATTGATTAAGAGGATCAGAATCAGTATTAATTGTTAAAGAGTAAGTTGTTGGACTCATGATAAGTTCTTAGAAGTTTTTAAATTAAGGATTCAAAGTCTTTGCTAACAAGATTAAAATGACTGATTAGGCAATAGTGAGAGAAGAAAGATTTAGTTAAGCACTTATTAAATAGTTTAGATTACCATGATCAGTTAAAATTAGGACAATTTTAAATGGAGTTTTCTTAAAAAAACTTAACTGTAATGATTTTTTTTTATAATGCTGCTTACATAATTAGTTTTTATTTTAACAAAAATAAATTAAGCCTTAATTTTACAATGTGCAAGTAATTTAATTTCTTGTAAAGTCCGCCATCATCTCCACAATTTTATTTTGCAACACCTTTTTGTAGTATTAATTTTAAAATTTGGAAATTTGTAACACTATTTGCATATTTGCCTATTTTCCTCAATATTCACTTCTTAATTGCCGTTTGTTAAATTTTACTTGTTATGAACAAAAAAACTGTCAAATATAAAAGAAAAATTTCAGTTATTATTTTATAATTTTCAACACTGGTTTAGGTCTTAAAAGTTAGAAAATATAAACTTACTTATAGGAAAAAAATTCCCACTCACCTGTTTGTTATGACTACCTGCCCCCTTCTTTTATTTCTCATCTCCCTAAATGTATTACATTTTGATAAAAATTCCCATCTTTTTATTCCCAACACACATAGTGTTTAGCAATTGAGAGTAACTTCACAGTAATAAAACTGAAACAACTTTGACCATATCAAATTGTTCCTTTAGTTGTTGCTGACTTGCTTTTTCTGTTTAGTAACTTTATAAAATCCGATCCTAAATTTCAAAAGTTTATTAAAATTTTACTGTGGGTGAGTTGAATTATAAAAATGCATATGTATAGATTTTTTTTATTTATTTTAAAGTTGTCTTGAATAATTTAGTTAGAATTATATGAATTAGATTGTGGTCTTTCCTAAAACAAAAATAAAAAACATTACAATGTATATCATTCAATGATAAATTTATCTACTAATGATTAATAGATAAATTTAATGAGGAAACTTAGAATCATAATCTGACTTTTTTATTTAATGTTTCAAAGTATTTTATTAATTTTTTATTACTAAACTAAACAAGTTTTACTTACTAAATTAATTGTAATGAAGGATAAACAGCTGCTTTTTTATTGACCAGTGGCCAACATTTAGTTGAGACAATTATTAGTAAAAAGCATCAATATTCAATAAAGTTGTTACCATCACTTTCTGCATTTCATTATTTTATTACTTTCTACATTATATGTGCCACAATGTGTTTTGTATGATGGAGCATTTATTATTTTATTTAGTTTGGCATTTAATAGTTTATAAAATTGAACCTTAAAGCTAATTCCTAATCAGAATATAATAATCATTAGAATATCTATCTTTGTTTGTTTTTTTTACCTAAAATAGTTTTAAAGAAAATAGTTCTCACAACAATAGGTGAGGGACTTCCAGTTAGGCCACTGTAATGGTGGTAAGTGTAATTGGTAATTTCAGGAATATTTTAATTTTGTGCTATCTTTTTCAATTGTATTTAGAGTTGTGGAGTTGTGGAATTTTTATTTCTATAAGTAAGTTTATTTTTTCTAATTTTTATGACCTGAACAGTCTCAGAAATAAGAAAATAAGAAATAAAGTTTTTTTTTTTTTTTAGTTTTGAGGTACAGTTTCTTTGTTCATAGTAAGTAAAATCAGGGATGCGGATTCCAAAAGGACTCCAGCTTTGTATCTCTATTTTTTTCCTGGTCTCTTGTGTCCAGACGCTCTAAACATGTTAATTGATTTATGATCTGCAAAAAGAAAAAGATTCAGAAGATTTAATGGCTTGGAACTTATTGTTTTTAAGCCTGGAATCCTTGCCAGCATTATACCTAAGGATTCCGGGTAACTAAGGGTTTTAATTTTTTTCCGATTAGTAGTTCATAAGCTTTTTTTATACTTTTAGAGCTTCTGAATATGAAAAACTAGGAAGAAGTAGTGTAGGTAGTGGTGTAGTGGTAGAGCGTTCTCTTCATAAACGAGTGGTTCCAAGTTCGATCCCCACCACGTCTCTGGTGGTACCGCTCTCAACTCGTTTCTCCGCGCAGCGGCCTTGTTAGTCAAGGTTCGTGTTTCGGATTATAGAGTTGAGAGAGGGTTATAGCCATAAATAAGTAGCCTCCTCGTCTGTAGTGGCCTTCTCGGCCTTGAGGAGGTGAATTAAAATAAAAAAAAAAAGAAAAAAAAAAAAAAGTAATCTTTTTGTGACTTTCAAACCGGAGTCCTTTTTGGGACTCTGCATTATTGAATAAAATATTTAATAAACAGGGAGGAGGTTTTAAAAAACTCAGGGTGGGTGGGAAAATTTTTCCAAAATTATTAAAGATCAACTGGTATGTATTTAGCACCTAAGAGTACCACGTTTTTTTCCTGTTTTTTAAGTAACAAATTTAAGTAAATTTGACCATGTTTTTCTTTGTAATAAACTCTAACTAAACTATTCAAACTCTAACTAAACTATTCAAGATGAAAACAAAACAAAACAAAAATTAAGCTGCATTGGCTTTTTTGTAATTAAACTCGCCCCAGAAAAATGTGATAAAAGTCAAAATTACAGGTGCTATGTTTTTTTTTATATATTTTAAGTTGTTTTATTGGATTCCTTGCCTCAAAATATGTAAGTGTACACATTTTCATTGCACACAGAACAGAAACAATGACCAAAACTGTTTTTTAAAATGGCGTATTTTTATTGGCATGAGGCAAAATTTGAATAGTCATATCTTTGAAACCATTTGGAATTAGATGATAAAATTTTAGGAATGTCTATAACTTATTAGAATCTTTGAGTGGTGTAAAAATCAGTAAAATCTGAGACTTAGGGTTGCATGCCCTGGATGTTTCGACATGGAATCGCCCTTAGGTGGATTAGGCATCCTTTGGAAAAAAATTGACACTGTATTTTTCTTATACTACGGCATTACTTTTTTGGAATAGTGGATCAATCCCAAATAAAGTTGGTTGTTAGTGTTTTTTAATAGAGGAAGAAGTTGTTTTTTCTGATGTCAAAGATTGATTTGTTATCAAAGGAGAGCTTTTAAAACTGCAACTGCAAATAGCTGCCATACAAAGAAATTGGGAGCAAGTTTTTCAACTGAAATGCACTTAAATTTGTCAGAAGCTTTATAATATTTCAACTGATAATAGTATTACTTGGAATCATTGAGTGATCTTTTTTTACAGTAAGTTTCATTATCTTCTAAAATACATAAATTTTTATTTGTAATTAATTTAAGCAAATTTTTAGTTCTTCAAATTTCCTTGATTTCTCCATCAAGTGACTTTTTTGGTATTTTTTTCTTGAAAAAAATTTCAGATTTTCCTTTTTAAATACTATTTGAATGAAAGATCTACTGCATTTAAACTTTGTAGCTAAATCTTGTTGAGTCGGATTTTAACGAATTGAGTTGTCTTCTTTTTGGAAATAAATCTTGATTTTCACTAACTTCTCAGTTTTCTTTTTACAGTTTTGTTTTTCTTATATTTTATAACAATTCCAGTTGGTTCCGGAACTTTACATGCTTTTGAAATCATGGAATGTAAGAACAATGAATTTTGTATAATTTCAATTTTTTATTTATTTTTAGGTTCTTTACTTAACTTGTAAAAACTAATGAGAAGTAAACAAAACTAAACCCACTCACAAAATTATGTAACCATCATTGGAAAAAAGCCATTACAATTGATTAAGTGGTTTTTGAGAAAACTGAATTTAAAATTGTCAACTAATCACGGTGATAGAGTAATAAAGAGAGTTCTAAATAAAACTTTTGAAAAACTGAACAAGCTGTAGAATAGTTTATATGAGAAACATATACATATATAAACAAGCTCTTTCCTATCGTCATAAAGTTGCATCTCTTTCTCTTTTCTACATATCATGATCGCTCCTCAAAGGAGTTATCAGCTCTAGTTCCATCAACTAAAACTCATTCTTATTTGACTCGTTATTCAGCTAAGTCTCATTTGTTTACTGTATCTGTCTCTACATGCTCTAAAAACTTTTATTTGTCTACTTTTTTTCCCGCATTTCAACCCTTTGGAATTCGCTCCCATTTTCATCTTTTTCTTCTGTCAACTGTTTTCTTGCTCTAAAACTCTATTCTTTTTTTTCCTGGTAACTTCCAACTTAATAGTGGTTGCTTTCAGCCTTGTTGAGAGATAAAATTGAGGAAGATAAAAGTTAATCTAAGAAGTTTTTATACATGACTGCTTCAACCGTGTTAACCTTTAAGCATACCAAAATAAAAAGAACCTCAGTAAATTTCAGTATTAATTGTCCTATTTAAATCTGAAATTAAAATATGAATTAAGATATTACCATTAAAGTTTTAGTATAGTGTGATGAACATTAAAGCTACCAATAACTATAAAATTTGCTGAGGGATAAAGAGAAAGGGCTCATTAAAATTATCAAAAACATCGTCAAAAGATTATAATTAATCTCCTTCCCAAGACAGCACGTTTTGGGAAGAAGGAGATTAATAATAAGTTAATATGTTAACATATACTCATGCCAAACATGTGACTATTAATTAAAGTCTTCGCTAATCAATATAAAATAACTATCAACATTAAGATCTAAAGTCAAAACAGAAAAATTCAAGTTAGTCTCACAAAGAGCAAGTAGGTTAGGTGATTTTTGCTATAGGTAATACTCAAGGGATAAAAAGTTACTTTTTTCACCATTATCTAAAAACAAAACAAAACAAAAAAAAACTAAATTAAACAAAAGATAAAATTAAATTGAAATATTTATAAACAATATTCTAAAGTTATAAATAAAAAAAAAAAATTTTAAGGACATCATTAAAGGAATAAAAAATAAATAATAATAATTTAAAAGAAAAAAAAAGCAATGCAAAATGCCATTGATTATTGTATTAAAAATAAAAAAATAATTTCTATAGAATATAAATATTGTGACTTTTATAGAATATTTATAAATGGTTATATATATATATATATATATATATATATATATATATATATATATATATATATATATATATATATATATATATATATATATATATATATATATATATATATATATATATATATATATATATATATATATATATATATATATATATATATATATATATATATATATATATATATATATATATATATATATATATATATATATATATATATATATATGAAATCAGCCATTAAATTCAAGTTAATACAAGAAAAGGTTTTATAAGAAAGTATAAGAAATTTCTACACAGATGCGTAAATGTTAGTGTTGTTATCGACTTGGACTAAATCAACATAGACTAAATTGACTAATTTTGAATTTCGACCAATCAAAAGTTAAAATTCAATTTATTTTTTTCAATTTTTAATTTTTGTTTGTTTATTTAATAGCAATACTACTATAACTATTGCATACTTTTTGTGTGTACTCTCTTTAAGTTTTATAAAATTCATAGCACATTAGCAATATTTATACCTAATTAAACTTTCGGTTATGTATTTTTTTTGTTTTGTTTTGTTTACGCTGTAATTTTCATAAATTCTTTTATACAGGGCCATTCCATGTTGGCTTGGGGCCCTAGATCAAAATTAAATTATGAAGCACCAAAATCTAAATGTTATCTAAGCAATAACATTCTCAATACGATTTTATAGACTTTTTGATATTTATTAAGTGTTTAAGGCAGTTCCTAAATTATTAGAATCTAGGAATAAATTGTCTCATTATTGGAATGGCCCTGCACCCTATTTTGTTTTTCTCCATTATTTTTTAAAGCTTGTACACAAAATAAGTGTAAAAGAAAAATAATCAAAAAAAGGTACTTATTGACTTTTATTGGGAACTAGGTATTACTTTTAATACATTAATATAAGAAGATAAAATATTTCAAAGAAATTAGTTTATACCTTTGGGCATCTAATAAAATTTTTAACTTTTGTTTTGGTGATTCTCATAGGCTTACGTACAGAATAACAAAACTATTTGATGTTTTTTAAATGACATTTTCAAATTTTTAATGTTTCTGCATAGATTTTTTTATTTTTAAAATTTTCTGTCTATAATTATCCAGTACTTTACAATAATTTTTAATACTAATAAAAATGTATTTCCATATTTTGACTAAAGTTGACTTCAAAAATGTATTAGTTGATTTTAGTTGACTTTTGAAAATATATTAGTCAATTTAGTTGGCAGTTGAATTATTTAAAAGTCGTTACTATTTGGTCCTCTTCTCTTTCAGTTATATATCAATGGTCTTCATGAATGCATCTCTTCAATTGCAAAACTATATGCAGATTATACTAAAATCATATCTGTTATAAAAGAAGGCAACGATCTAAATAACATGCAAAATGACATTGTTAACTGAATGGTCAAATGTATGGTTAATGGAATTTAACATAAATAAATGCAATGTTATACACATCAGAAGAAAAAATATTAACTACAATTATATTATAAAAAATATTAACTACAACACAATGAAACAAGACAATCAAAGAATCTTATGTTTAATCAGAAAAAGCCTAATTTATGTTAACAATGAAATGGTAAGTTATACACACCACTGGTTAGGGCACACCTAGAATTTGCAGCTTCAGTATGTTGTCTAAAGAAAAGCCTTAATGACCTCCAGTATGGTGCTTAAAAAAAACCTTAATGACATCCAGTATGGTGTCTAAAAAAAACCTTAATTACCTGGAAAAAGTTCAAAGACAAGTAACAAAATTAGCACCTGAACTAAAACATTCAATTTATACTGAATGATTGACAAAGTTGGTTCTCACAACACTGAAATCAAGGCGTATAATAGGTGATCTTATTGAGTTTTTTAAAATAAAAATTAGGATTGATAAAATATTTTGGTATAAAGAGCTTCATAAAGCTTCTTCCAAAGGTCTAAGGGGTCATTCAATAAAATTTGAAAAAAGTTTGCAAAAATGGCCCTCAGACATAATTTTTTTACAAATAACCTGAAAAAAGGGTATCTGCTAAAACAGTAAATTCTTTTAAAGCTAGACTTGATAAACATTTGTTAATGGCTAAAATTTAAACTTAATGCTCCCGAACAATAGTTGTTAAATCAGTTTGTATTACTATTACTATTACTAGTAAATATATATGTATAAAAATTATGTTATTTAAAATTATGTAAAAGTTCCATTTGTATAGTATTATGTACAAATGTCTGTAAGTGTAAACTTCTTTAGCTTAAGTTGAGTTTGCGGGTGGTATATAGAACAATCGTGTATAATATATGTATAATTTAAGAAAACTTTAAAAAAAATTTTGTTAACAATTACAAGTCATTTTTGCAATATATATTTCAGAAACGACACTGAGGACAGCGCACTGAATCACTGAGCTATCAAAAATATCGGTTTAAGCTAAAAAACAAACCATTTTATATATTTTTACTACCAATTACAATTTAATATTTTTTAAGTAAGTTACTTTAAATCCGACTACTTGAGACCTACTTTTCAAATAGGTCTCAACTAGGTTACTCTAAATAATCACAATTTTATTGCATATCTATATTATATAATAATAAACACAAATATGTTATTATTATATAATATAGATATGCAAATGTAAAAAATTAACTTATATAGCATTATTTACAAATATCAATAAGTATAAATGTCAGTAGATAAGTTGAATATCTGACTTTATAAAAACTTTAACAAATAACATTGTGTTATTTTATTTTAACATTTATTTTTGTTTTTTATATTTTATTTTTTGAAATAGAATTCCAAATTACAATGAAACTAAATTTTAAACTTACTCAAGCCACAATCAGTTTGGTTGTCTAAAAAATATCATCCTCATTAATGCTTGTAATTTTAAGTATAACAAAACAATAATAATAAAGTGTATTGAACTAACTAAAAAAGCATTTCAACTCGTTCCAATCGCTTTAAAAAATGAAATAAAATTCGCTTTGTTACCAACTAAATATATTCTAAGATTTATCATCTAAGAAAGATTTATCATCTCTAACTTGCATGCAGACCTTGCTTGAATAACTGCAAAGATGCAAGACACCCGAAACTGTTAATATTTAGAAGTTATTTCTGTTTAGCCACTCAGATCCTTATAAAAAAAGTTTAGTAGAATATATTTTTACAATGCCTCTTAAAGTGCATTTTAAAAACCACCATGTACACTTATCACTTAGGTTTTTTCAAATATTAAAAAAAAATAGGTTTAACTCTCTTTATCCATACCTTTGAGATTTTGTGCTGATTTAGCTATTGGTGAAGATAATAGTTTGTTAGAATATAAAGTTGCAAATATTTACATGTGTGTATACAAAAGGTGGAATAACAAGATGAACATGGTGGTGCTTGTATTCAAATTAGTAATAAAATAATACCTGTTAAAGGTGTGTTGCTGATATAGAATATGCTGCAGATTTTTTAACCAATAACAACATACATGCTGATATGGTCCATGGTCATGTGGTCCATTATAAATTTTTTTAGTAGTGGAGATAATAATCACAGGAATTGTTTTTCATTATTAATTTTCGAAAAGGTTGAGAATGATGTATGTTTTGATTTAAATAGTATTAAAGAGGGTTTAAAAGTTTGAATGGACCATATGCAATCTTAAATTTTTAAAATTTAGTTATTGAGTGATTGACAGTTAATGACCATTGTATTGATCTTGTACTGCATAGATAACCTCTATTGCAAAAATATGTACACTTGGTCTTTTTATTTAATAAAAATAGTATTTTGACAATATGACTTCTTTTGTTTTATTAATTGATTCTCTTTATATATCCAATGGTGGTCTATACTTAGTTAAAGAGTATTCGAATAGTGAGATAAATTACAAACATAATTGTTTTTTAAAAAGGCGGTTAGTCATTTTTTATTTCATCAGGTTTATTGTTAAATGTTTTATTTTCTATTTTAATTTCTGTAAAAATATTGTTCATTTTAGAAATCAAGCAAAGGAGAAGTTCTTTTCAATAACGTTGTTGCTACTTTATCTATTACGCAAAAGGAATATATGGGTTTATTGTTTTTTAATGAGACTGGAGTCAAGGTTAATTTATTTTGTTTTGTTAAAACATGATTATTTTTGTAAATTTTTACATTTTTGAAATGTAAGTGTTTGTAGTATTTTGCTATTTAATGTTATCTGAAATAAATAGTTCAATATAAGGTTGAGTAAACTGTTTAGTTATGCTCAAGTTTAGTAGTGTCTCAGTTTTTTAGTTACCAACATAAAAAGACTTCATAAATCAGTTATGAAATTATTCTTTTAAATCAGTTATAACAGCAAACATCATGAGAAGTCAAGCCAATTGCAGCCTACCCAATCTACAAAAAATAAAAGTTTTTACTCAAGACTTGAAGATCTAAATTTTTACCAACTTTAAGATCTAAATTTTTAAGTAACATAGTTATAGAATTTAAGTCTAAAGAATGAGACGGAGCTTTATTTCTTTAGAAGTGAAGCTGTTAAAAAACTCAACAGGAAAAGGAACTTTTTTTATGCATTCACGTAATGATTGAATTCTATTTAATTATTATAATGAGTTTTAACTGCATAAAGTTTTATTCAAACTTGAAAATATTCAAATTTTTTTATTCAAACACTTTCAGATAAAAGTTTAATTCATATTTTAAAAAATATTTGAGATTGCTGAGAAAAAAAGTTTCTTTATTAACAATATAACATGTTTGTTAAAGCAATTTGAATGGTAATTTAATTTGATTTAATTTAATTTATTTTTCAATAACAATTTAATAAATAGTTTAAAATATAGGATAATAAGTAACTTTAATAAATAACTTTAGTTCAGTAGTTATCACATTTTATAAAAAAATCTAAGCACATAGGCAAGTACTAATGAGTTTTCTACTTTAATAGTTCTTTTTTACTAATCTAGTACTGAAAGTTTCGTAAAGGTTTTTCAAAAGTTTCTTTAGAGTTATAAATAGAGCACCAGTTTCTTATTTACATTGAGTTAAAAATAAATGCATAGTTACTAGTTATGAATTAGTTTTAACAGTGGGTAAATTGCCTACTTAATACCCTTACTTCCTATTTATATTATTAGCAATGTCAGTCTAGATATACGCAATAAAATAAAATCCAATTATAAAAGAGTTGGAAGGACAGTGTCAGCATTGTAACAAAATAAAGATTTTGATGAAAAGCAAAAAAAAAAAGATTGACACCATAAATTAAAAAGTAGCCAATAAAGTGAAGTTGAGCATGACTGTCGATGAGGTTACTGTTTTAAGAGGGCGAAGATATTTTGGAGTTAATATTCATGATAAAACTGACAATATCGCGTATAAAACAGGATTAATTTGAATTTTGGGTTCATGCGGTGGGCTTGATATGGTTGAAATAATAAAGCAATATCTAAATGTGTTTGCAATATCGATGGAAAAAAATTTGGTTGCATCTACTCAAGATGGAACATTTGTAAACAAGAAGTATATTCGAAATTTAGATGTTATTGGTCAATTTTTTTTTTTAATTATGGTATACATGTTGGAGTATGTGACACACTTAGTACGAAAAAACATGATATTGAAGATTTAAGCAACCCCTGTGATGACGATAACAATCAAAATGATTCTTTTGACGAAGGCACCAATTCTGAATTTATAAATGATGATTGCGAAGATTATAATGACTACAATAATTTGCTTAAGAACTCACGCAAACTGATAAAATACATCAAACTGTTAAGTGTTCGAAATCAAGTTTTTCAATCAAAAGTCAAGGCTCTACTTGGGAAAAAAATTTAACTTTCTCTTGATGTAAATACTCATTGGAACACAATACCAATAATGCTTGAGCCATTGATAAAGACAGAGACGACAATTCAAGAAACTTTATTAGAATTTAAGGCTTTATAAGAATAAAAGTTTAGCCAATAATGTAGACTCCGATGCCTTTAAAGGTTTACTAGAGGCAATGAAACCCATTAAACTTGCTATAGAGAATCTTAGTAGAAAAGATACAACTCTGTTGAACGCTGACACGATTTTAGAATTTATGTTTGAGAAACTTTCTCTAGTTAACAGTGAAATTAGCAAAAAATTGATGGATGATTTTTGAATTACGATGAACATCTGAATAGAGCTGTCATTTTTTACGCTGTCTAAAGAACTCTACAATAACCCCATCCAGAGATACAATAACTTTTGCTGGAATGTTCGCATCTCGATTTTTTGGTGTGCATGACATTAATATTATTAAAACAACTTCCAGTAATCTGTCAGATAAAATTTAGATAAAATCAGATAAAACTCTACAAGAGGAACTGAATGTGTTGCTGAAGAAAAATAAATCACCAATAGTATCTTTTGGATAGGACAATTTCAGGTGGTTAAAAGCTGAATTTACTCTTTTTAAGAATACAGGCCAGTGTACAGAAAACTTACAAAAGCTTTATGATGCATTATTAACAATTAAGCCCACATCTATGGATGTTGAAAGAGTATTCTCCATGTGTGCCAACTTTAGTACAAAAATAAGATCACGACTCATTATCACAAGTCATTATCAGCTCTTGTATTTTTGAAATACTATTATAAAATGTAAAATTGTATATATATATATATTAATGGAAAAAATTTTTACTCTTGCCTGCTTAATGCAAGGAGGATGGATGGGGATGATAAATGAATAAACAGCTGTTTTTTAAAAACCACTGTTTTTCAGAAACCCTAGTTAACAGTTTCATTAACATCATACCATTGATACCATCACAGGGGGATTTACCAGGGCTGGTATCAAAAACCCATTCATTCATTCAGGGTTTAAATGTTTTTAATGTGATGACAAAGATTGATAAAGTTTTGAGATAAAGTTGATAGATAATTATTTAAAAAAAAAAATCCTTATCATCTGCTTTCTTAGCTTACTAGAGTGCTTACTTAGCTAACCAGGAGCTATTCTAGAAAAAAAATTTGGGCAGTGGTATCCCTTGTGTAGAAGCGTGCCATAAGGATACATTAATGGAAACCTTGACAAACAATGTCATTTTTCTGCAAAAAAATATACTTTATTTGCCAATAAAAAAATAATTGCAAATAAAAATCACTTCTATACATTCAACGCTGTGGTAAAGGGTCTAGAATACCCCCTTCTCACTATTATGCTTACTTAGTTTATTGGAGCGTTTACTTGAGTAATTTCTTGGATGACTTAAGTGAGAAGAGCAAGTAGAAAGATTTTCTGTTGCATAACTGTTTATTTTCAAATATAAAAGTATATTATTTATTAAAATGAAGTATATTATAAAATGCTATCATATATATTGTTTACACAAGATATGAAAAAAAAACTTTACTATTTTTTTATTTTAGTGCTGGTTAGATATTCACAAAGAAATGAAACATCAGATAGGAGGTAATTTTAAGAGTTCAACTATAAGAAGGCCCAAACATTAAAATTTCATATAAATTTTCCAGTTTGTAGTTTACTGGTGCCACAGTTAGCTTTTTCTTTTTAATTTTATATATAAAGTTTGAGATTCTTTAATAATTTTGTATTGAAATTTGTAATTGCATTTTTAAAGTTTGCATGAGACAAATGTTTGTGTGTTGCCTTTATTTGTTATGCAATTGGTTTAAATATATCTGTGAAATTTGAAAGCAAAAGCAAATTTGCACTTGTTATATTCTTTTGTGTTGGTGAATTCCTAATTTTGCATATGGTTGCTTTTTGCTTTATATTTTAAATTGTATTGTACACCTATACACCTATAAAGACATTTTAGCATGCATTCAAATGACATGTCTTTGGAAATTAGGCTGCTACTTTAGTTTAAAATAATTCTAAACAAAATTATTTGAAGTTAAGTGTTAAAAGCAATACGTTTTATTTTTTTAGTTTTTTGTGAAAATTTGTTGAAGCATTTCTTCAGAAACATTGTTGCTTCATGTTTTGGACTACATTTAAATCACATATCTAGAAAATAATCAAACTGTTTAAGCAGTCATACTTCTTTATGACAGGCACTGCTGTAAATAAAACATATTTTAAGATTGATTGAATGGTGTGGTACTTTACTTGGGTTGTTTAATGAACAGGGACCTTAAGCAACTTTTTTAAATATAAAATATCAATAAATATTAAAATTTAAAATTTTACCTCATTGATTTTGTCCAGTGAAGCCATATTTGTTTTTCTGTACTTTTCTGATTTGGTATCTGTTTTTCAGTACTTTTCTGATTTGGTAACATTTATAAAATTTTATTTTAAGAGGAAAGAAACTTTATTTGAAACTTGTTTAAATGTGTTTTTCATTAAAATCTCAAAAATTGAATATCTTCCAATCCATATGTTAGCACATGCTAAGATTACATTTATTTATTGTATCATTTTTCTTACTCCTGATCTATTCTTTACCTCTATAAATCACTTATTTGTTCTTGTTTGAAATGTTGTCATATTTAGGCTGCTTCTTTTAATGAGGTTGTCTTTGAATTTGTAAGGTTGTTGTTCTTTTTCTCTTTTCACCTGCTTGAGCGAGGTATCATTACTTGTTCCATTGCTTATCATGTTACAAGTTGTAACATGATTGTATGTTTTGCTCTTTAATATGTTACATTTATGTTTAGAACAATAAAATAGTTTTAGATGTGTTGTATGCTTTAAACAGAAAAAATAAGTGTGCTCCCAAAATGATAAATCAATGATTTGAAAGCACTATTTTTCTCTTGGCAAGTTTTTGAAAAAATTTTTTAATTTTTTTAAATTTTGTTTTGAAATCTTTACTTTTAGATGCTGACGCAAAATTTTATTTTCGAATTAAGTTTTATGAGCCTGAACCTACAAGAATTTATGATGAGTTTACACGGTAATTATATAAACTACTAATTATATTTTTTTATAATAAATTTGAATCTATATATATATATATATATATATATATATATATATATATATATATATATATATATATATATATATATATATATATATATATATATATATATATATATATATATATATATATATATATATATATATATTTATGTATGTATGTATGTATGTATGTATGTATGTATGTATGTATGTATGTATGTATGTATGTATGTATGTATGTATGTATGTATGGATGGATGTATGTATGTATGTATGTATGTATGTATGTATGTATGTATATATATATATATATATATACAGGGCCAATTCTAGTAAAAAAATTTGGGCAGCAGTACCCCTCCCCCCAAAGAAATTTACCGGAAAATTGGCTAAATTTTTTCAAACTAGTTTTCCGCGGGAAATTCTCGGTTTTTAACATCATATCATTTAAATGTTATTGGGACAAAACAATATGAGAGCAGGGCCCACTCTGACAACAATGGTTTAGGGTCAGTTTTAAATACTTGCTAAATATAAAAAATTCCATCCAATCATATTTGCAATGGGATTTTATGGATTACATTTAGATTATAGAGCTTCACAATTTAACCCCAGGACTCTGAGTCAGCTTAGAATAACTATGTATGAATTACAAAAGAAGAACTATGTATTTTCGAAGTACTAAACTTGTAAACATTAGGATTTTTGATGTTTACACAATTTAAAATTCCACTGGAAGTAAAAGCTACTTGCGGGATAATATTAGGGTTGATCTAAATCCTGATATGGCATTAACTGGTGTAGTGTTATGCATCCTGCTTCAGTAAATAATAATGGAAACTGTTGTTTTGACAGTGATCGTCCAGGAAGGTTTCTTTGCAAATTGTCAATGGCAACATTCTAGTATATTTTTCAATGGTTTTGAAAATAATTGTTCAGAGGTTTAAATTTATGACTGCATTACGCTGGAAGACAAAGCATATGGTCGGCCAAAAATTAATAAAGTTTTTCTTTGTAATTGGTGCTGGTTAAAATGTTGCTAAAAAGTACAAATTCTTCCTTAGTAATATATTCTTTTGGAGTCATGCAAAAAATATTTCCAGAGGTCATTACTTCCAATAAATACATAATAAGATCAATTAAAAACTTTTCTATAAAATGCCTAATATAATAAAAGAATTAGTAAAATTTTTTATGATTTAAATTTTTTGTGTCATTTTAACATTATTTATTTATCTATCCATAGCAGGTTTTTCCACTCTATATCCATACATTTTAAAGTTTTAAATATAGTTTAAATCAAGCATTGTGATGTCACACGAAAATGGCCTGCTGCTGGAAGCTTCAGTACATACATCAGCCATCTTATAGCCTGCTGCCGCAACGAAATACTTTACATTGTCTGAGGGTTTGGGACAGCAACATTTTCTTTCATTTTTCTTGATTTTTTCTATTCTTTTTCTGTAAAAGCTATATGCTAAGGGGTATAACTAAGTTTTGGCACAAATTTAAACTGAAATTTAATAATCTTAGAAATTTTACTTTAGATCTATGGAATACATAATAATATTATCAATTAAGTTTATTATAAAAAATTAATAATGAAAAAATAAAAGTCCAGATCTCCTTATTTTATCAAGCTATTTCCTGACTGATAAAGCATGGTTTTGTACAAACTTTAAGTCCATATTGTTAAGGCATCTAACTATCTTTTTTTCTAACTCATCAAGATTTTTTGCTGTCCAGTTGTTCTTGTAAACCTCCATTTTTAAGTTAAGACAGGCTTCCCGCAAATTAGCTTGATTCATGAATTTTGAGACAAAAGGTACATTCTTGTCTTGCAAAAAATTTAGTTACCATGGAAGCATAATGAGCAGATGCTAAGTCAGACCAAAACACAAAACCACCAGCACTATATATTTTTTTTAACAAATGGAAGGAGTTTGTTTTTTAGAATTTTGCAATGAATGTCTTGGTTAATTGCGTTTCCAGATTTTTGAAAAAAAGGTTTTTTTTCAAAAATCTGGAAATTCATTTCAGACCATCCATTTGATGATATAGCAAGCCATACAAGTAACTTTTGGGAATATTTTTTTTCGAAACTGTATTTAACATTATCCCGTGTCTTATTTAAGTCGTCGGTGTAGAAAGTGTCATTGCCTAGCTGATCAGCATGGCTCAATGTCAAGTATAAATCATCATCAATTGAAAAATCATGGTTTCCATAGTGCTGTAAAATTTGTCTGCATTTGAAGTCCCATCCAACATCAAGAGGTCATGGTTTAAACAGGGAAAGACCCATATTTTAGAGATAAGAGCTTTCCTTGGAGTCGTAATCAACATGGGTCTCATCAAAAAAGCTAACCTTAAACTGTACTGGGATATAAGTCATCCTTGTGCATCTACTCCCTGGTTTGTTATAACCCACTTCAATATGGACCGGTTTCAACTTTTGCTTAAATTTCTTCATTTTACAGACATCCATGTGGCAAATCAACAACCACTCAATAAATTTTATAAAATTCAATTTTTAGTTAAACATTTTAATAACAAAATTATTTATTATTATTATCCACAAAAAAAAATTTTTATAGATGAGAGTATGGTTGGCTATAAAAGAAAGATACTACATCTGTGTCAATATATGCCAAACAAACGTCATTCTAGATTTGGGATTAAGTGATGGTGTGTTTCAGACAGCACCAATGGTTATTTGTGTCAATTCGAAATTTACAAGGGAGGAAAAGACCCAGATGTAGCAGCCATAGCCAATGGTATGACATAGTTTAGTTTTTCATCTTTTGCGCCAAACTAATTTCCTCCACCAAGGTCATCAGTTAGGTATTGACAATTATTATACTTCTCCTCAACCGTTATTAGATCTATATGCTCATCAGATCATTGCAACAGGCACAGTGAGAGTCAACAGGAAAAGCCTACCAGAAATCTGCATTAAATCAAAATTAAAAAACAAGGTTTGCCAATATAGAAAAAGTCCTTTGTTGTGTGTGGCATACTAAGATAGTAAAAAAAGCCTATATTGCTATCTACTGTTGCCAAAGCAGGTTTTACTGAAATGCATAACAGAAGAGGAAATATAGTTATGAAACCAAATGTTATTGTCCTTTACAATAAAACCATGGGCGGTGTAGATTTGGGTGATTCACAGCTCTATGTGTACTTGTCTGAGTGTAAAACAATAAAGTGGACAACTAAAGTTACTTTTTCTTTATTTAGTAGGGCAATTTTAAATAGCTATTTATTGTATAATCTCAATACAAATGAACATAAGCCAATGTCAAGAATAGATTTTATGATGGCTATAGTGGAAAGTTTGTCCGGAGGTTATCTTCCATTGAAAGAAATTTCTAAAAGACAAACATTGAGAGAGAGATTAAATGTGGCTAGAAGTACAATTATTCAATACCCACTTCCCCAACATACTGGGAAAAAATAAAATGTTATACCTGGGCACCAAACTCAAGTCCGCACAAGTTGGCAGTGTCAGTTATGTGTTGTTGGACTGTGTCCAGCCTGTTTTTCTAATTATCATAAAACAGTTGTCCATTAAAATCATTAAACTGCTTTTAATCATATAACCCCTGGTGACAAAAATTTGGCACAAAATAAAAAAAGTTTAATGATCAAAAAATTATTACAAAATATTAAGCAGTATATTAGTTTTTTACTTTCGGGACTGAAGTAATATTTTCTTGCCATTACGAGGTACTGCACTAACTTTTTTGTATACATGTTTGCACATGCCTTCTACAAGAATTTTATAAACTTTTCTTTAACAAGAATGGATTATTTTTTGCAGCTGATCTTCATTTTCAGCTTCCCAATTGTTTTCATGCACGTAGCATTTAAAGGGATCCCAAACTCCCAACACATGTTGTGTTCATATTAAAGATAATGTTAAAAAAAAAGGTTTGAACCAAATTTTTTTGATTAAAAATAAATAATGAATGCATACCGTGAAAAACAAATGTTGTTGTTTTTGCCGAAGCTCGTCTTCTCCATTTTTTTGAACTAATCGGAGTCTTCAAATTATGCGTCGCAATCTACAGACTTTGGCAATTCCTTTGAAGCGCGTTTAATTCATAAAAGTTTTAGTATTTGACGTCACGATAGACTTTTAACAAAAGAAACTCTAGAAATATTTTTGTTTATTTTTAGTCGAAGTTTTTTTGATTAATTGTTTAGTTTTTTATTTTTCTACTTTTAATATGTAAAAAGATAATAAAAACCTTAAATATTTCATGCTGGTTCGTTACTATAAATTGTTATTGCGCCATATATTTAATGTTTATTATCTCAAAAATTGTTTTACATTAATTATAATCAATGTAAAACAAGGCATTTTATTTTTATTGCTTAGACGTTCTAAATAATAAGTAAATTTAGTTCAAGTTAATAATTATTAACTTGAACTAAATTTACTTATTATTTAGAACGTCTAAGCAATAAAAAAAAAATGCTCCTAAAATTATGCGAGATTGTGTTGTTTATTTGGTAATTGTTGTTGGTAATGTTGTTTATGTTGATTATTTTCATAAATATCAAAAAAGCTCCAGATTAATCTGTTCGTTGCTTTGCTCATTGTTGATTTATTTCTATCACAAACTATAATTATAAGTTAAAAAAGAAAAGTTTTTATTTCATCGCGCGCTCTTTTTATAAAAGAGTAGAACAAAAGAGAAAGAAAATTTTCGCGCAATTAAACTTTGAATGAGTAAGAGTTGTATAGAATTTTTTTTTTTTTTTGCTTCACTCGTTCTTTTTTTAGATGAGAGAAATAAAAGTTTAATTGCTTGAAAATTTGTATTTGTTAATTGTGTTTTTAAAATTTTTTAATTTTTCATGTTAAGAGACAAATGCCAATTACGACACAAATTTGGAAATACCAAATATAATGTTTTTTAATGCGTGTTATGACATTTTAACAATTTAAATTACCATCTATCTTGAATTATTGCCTTAAATAAATGTGTTAATTATTGCATTATTTAATAATAATTTGTCCGTATTTTTGTTAAATATTAGTTGTATAAAACGGGCAAAAATATACAAACTTCATGTTTTTTATTTGATGGTTATAAAATATTGAACAGTAAACTTATAATCAAAATTTATAGTGCCGACTTGTGTTGCAATTAATTGTACTTTTAATGCAAAATCAGGATCTCACAAATCCTTTCACGAATTTTCATATCTGATACTACTGTATTGCTTAGTGTATTGCTGTACTTTTTTTTCATAATCTTAACAGGTTCTAATTGGTATGGAGTTGCTGACATTATAAAAATTTTATTATCAAAAATCAAATGTAAAATAAAATGGTATTTCCTTTTTATCCGTATCCAATTCAGCAAATTTAGCAATTTAAATTAAATCAGCGTGATCAAAAAAATTTTATAATGAAAAAAGTTAACAGTTCATTAAATATCTCTAATTAATACTGTCAGTTTTTGAAAGTAATTGTTAACAAATACTTTTTTTCGACGGAAAAACAAAAAATTGTCATAGCGTAAAAATAACCAGAGAAGTTAGAAAATAGTTCCCATTGTTTAAATAAAAATAATTAAGAATCGGAATATATAATAATGCGCACTCTTGCGCAAAAACAAGAGACCGTAAATAAAACGTTCTATATAATGTAAAATACTCGTATGAAAATCATGAGATTGGTAAGTAAAGCTTTAATATTTGTTTTAATTTAAATAATTAAAGAAATATAAGTAAGATATATAAATCTAAAAATTATTAAGATATCTGTAAAAAATAAGTTGCTCCTATAAAATAAAGATAATTTATTGTTTTTACTTTTTACAAAATTTTTTTTTGCGATGTTTGGAAAAATAATACAAATAAATTTGTTTTGCTGTATGTTAAAAAAATACTACAGTAGAAAAACGCAGCTTAGTTTAATTACACTTTTCTTTTGTTAAAAGTCTATCGTGACGTCAAATACTAAAACTTTTATGAATTAAACGCGCTTCAAAGGAATTGCCAAAGTCTGTAGATTGCGACGCATAATTTGAAGACTCCGATTAGTTCAAAAAAATGGAGAAGACGAGCTTCGGCAAAAACAACAACATTTGTTTTTCACGGTATGCATTCATTATTTATTTTTAATCAAAAAAATTTGGTTCAAACCTTTTTTTTTAACATTATCTTTAATATGAACACAACATGTGTTGGGAGTTTGGGATCCCTTTAAGGATTGACCAGAAATCTTCTATTGGTCGTAATTCTGGGACACATGCCGGATTATCAACTTTTGTTACATAACAGATATTTTTCTCATCGAGGTAATTGGTTACACTTCTAGCATAATGTGAAGAGGCCAAGTCAGGCCAGAATACATAGTTACCATCACTGTGATGTTTGTTGATAAAAGGAACCAATCGTTTGGTGATGCAATCATTATTGTAGATTGTTTGCTTAATTGCCAGTCTCGCAGGAACAGTAAATGGTTTTTAGATTCGGCAAGGGGATATAGTAATCTATAAGAGAATATTTTTTCAAGTTTGCTTTTGCGCTTATATTATACATTTTTTGGTACATTTTTTGCCTCATCTGAGTAAAATCCAGCATTAGAATTTTTATTTGTATGTTTAAATTTAAAATAAGACTCATCGTCAATGACAAAGTCACGGTTTTGAATTTATTTGCAATTTTTCTTGTTGAAGTTCCAGACCGGTTGTTCAAAAGACCTTTCAGGCAGTTGATGTTCCTAGTAGTCATAATTTTTGGTTTTCTGTCTGATCCAGGCTTACGACACTTTCACTAATTGTCCTTCCACTTTGTCATATAACGTTTGATGGTTCTTTAAGGGTGATTAGAGGCAACAAAATACTTTTCGATGCTCTTCGTTTTAGCGTTAGGATGAAAATTACAATAGTTGTACACTTGTTCAATTAATGTAGCTGGCTTCATTTTTGGATAACTTTTTTATTAATTAATCTATGTAAACATAACTTTCAGTAAAAGATAACTAACACTTTATAAAAAAAAATAACTAAAAAAGTAAGACTGCATAACTAAAAATTCAATAAGTTTCTCAAAGATTGTGCCAAATTTTTGTCACCTGGGATTATAACCTACAAAAAAATAGAGTTCAAAATAGAGTTGTTTTGTTGTTGGTTTTTTTGTTATGTTTTTTGCTGATTTTTTTTTACAGATTTTTGTTTTAGTTGAATTTTTATGATTGGTGTTTAAATTTTATAGAGCGTTCAAAAGTGGTCAAAAACTATTTGAAGGAATCTAAACAAACTCATTTATCCAAGACCGGTAAACCTATTCATAAGTTGTACAATAGTTTCATGAGAAAATATGCATAAAACAACCACTATATGTTAGAGTTTTTAAAACAGTAAAGACAGAATGGAAGCAAATTTAGTTACTTGGTTAGAAATTCTTATTTAAGTTTAAGAAACCGGCAGTTTTCAGCCATGCTAAAAGACCTTATTGCAAATAAAGGTTTTAAATCAGAAAATGCACATAGTAGTTTTGAAAATAAAAGTATATTTCCACTCAAACGTTCAAAGGTTACTCCAAATGAAACTGCAATTGGTGCTATTTTTTAAGATGTAACAAATGGAAAAATTGAGGATTTTTTTTCTAGAAAATCTACCAATTCAAAAGTTTCACTCGATAAGACTAATAGAATAAATTCAAAAAACTCTATGAATAGACTTTCAACAAGTATTGCTCCAAAAACTAGATAGCATCAAAAATGCCGTTAAACAAGCATCTTTTGATATTAATAAATCAGTGCACAGTGTGCTTAGAGATTAAAGCTTCTTTCTGGTAGTAAAGAAAAGAAAACAACAATTAAAAGAACAACAAGTTATGATTGAACTATCTGCAATGGTTCAGGACGAGCTGCTAAAAAAAGATGAAAAAAAAGTGTGATTAACTTTTATTTTTAATAGCTTAATGTTTTAAAACAATATCTTTTGAATACTACAACTTTTTCATTATAGTTTTTTAAAAATTATCAAATCTTTACAGTATAGCTAGGGTTGCCACCAAATGAATTAGTATTCATTTGGAGGTGGAAATCGTAGCTGTACTGTACTGATTTGATAATTTACATATAACAGACAAATACAGATACGTTGCTGCAATACTATTTAATAAAAACTGTGATACTATTTAATGGTGAAGAATAATGGCCTGGTAATAATAATGGAGGGTTATAAAATAATAATTTTCAGGGAGCAAAATATATGGGTTGCTGAACAATGTTTCAGTCCTTGAATTGCTGCTTTTTAAAAATACAACTGTGTCAGAGATAAAAATAAATTGCATTGTTAAATGGTAAAAAAGCACTACAAGCTTATATTTGATTAATGGGGGAGCATTCGCTGAGGCTGCAACCAACCTGATTCTAATAACTGAGATTTCTGCTGGTTAAAAGTGGTTAACTGACAGAAACAGATGGTGACAATGAAGGTTTTTTTTTAACTGATTCCAATAAAATAATGGATGGCAGGATCTAAAAAATAGATAATGTACACTCTGTACCAACACAATGTTATACCCTTACATTAAAATATAAAAGTAATTTTAAATTTTAAAAATCTTTTAAAATTTAAAATTACTAGGTTTACACTAGTATAAATTATTTACTATTATGAATTGAGTACTATTTTTTGAGATTTGATATGTACGTTCAGAATTAGGAACACATGTTCCAAACAAAAATTCCACTTTTTAAAATTAAAAGTTGACAATATTTTAATTATAAATAAAAACTTATTGATATGCTTCTATTCAGTTTATTTAAAAAGATTAATTTAAAATTCAAAAAACAAGTGAAGTTATTCCACTTTAAGTGCGATTTTGTTCATAATTAGGAAAATCTATGGTAGAGTGTGTAATAATAAAATTATATGCACTTTTGTATTTGTGCCCAAACTTAGTTATCACCTGTTATAATGATAAGCAAAACTAATAACCATTTACTGATCTGTATACACTATAGTAACTGCTAACTTCTGCTGGTTGCAATTGTCCAAATATATTTTGCACACTTTTTAGATCTAAAAGTTTTTTAGAAAAATTAGTTACTATTATTAGTTAAATTAAAAGGTTTTTTAAATTATAAAAAGTAAATAACTGAGTACTGACATGATGCAGATTCAAGTATCATCACAAAAAATTTTGTGTATAACTTTTTTTTTTGTTTCAGCTATTTGTTGTACCTACAACTTCGAGATGACTTTGTTAATGGCAGGTATGCTTTATTAATAATCAATTGCAATTTTTTTTTTTTCTTATTTTTTCATTTTTCAAATTATTTTTATTATTCTTTTTAACCTGTTGTTTATATATTAAGTTTTAAATTTGTTTATTTATATCTTAAATTTTTTATTGTGGATCATAATAATAGGATTACTCAGCGAATTCCCAAAATGACTTCAGAATTTTAGGAGTCTACGATTCTATAAATCCTGTACTTAGTAAACATAAACACTGTCAGACTTCCAAGACTTCTTGACTTTCAAAGCCAAGATAGAAATAGTTTATTTTTACTCTAACTCTATATAGTTTTTTGAACTCTCCATCACTGGCTATTTTTGATTTAAGTATATAAATAGTGCATTAAACAACTATGTCAATTGTTAATCATATAAATATAAAAGTTGAAAAACTGAGAAAAAAGTTACAACTTTTTTTTTAGTTTTTTAACTGAGAAATAGTTGTAATTCCATAACCATCATTAAAATAATTTAGTAGCTGAGATTTGTAAGCAAGAGGTAATTCCCACTACATCTATCCTAATAATGTGCACTTATCCATCCTATTACTGTGCACCCATCCATCATAGTACTGTGCATCCATCCATCCTAATACTGTGCACTCATCCATCATAAAACTGAACACCCATCCATTCTAATGTTGTACACCCAACCTAATACTGTGCTCTAATTGTTTCTCAGTGTCTTTTTTCTCAAGATTTGTTTTTTGTAGTTAGGAGTTGATAGTTGTAACAACAGTTTAATAAAACATGAGTGGTTTTTGTATTTGATTCATAAAAGTTAACTCAACTAAAACTATAAATAAAACTTTTAAAAACCAAAATTTCTCAATCTTAAATCTATAATAAAATAACAAAGTAAATAAGAAATTATAAGAGTAATTGTTTATTTGAACAAATTTTTTATATATATATATAATTTTTATTTTTTTTCTCGGTATGCTGTTAATTTACACAAATTAAATTAATCAAAGGTACAATATATTAACTTAAGTATAAATTTAGAAAAGCAACAGATAATTTAAAAACATGTTACGATCACACAATCAAGTGAGAAGACTGGAGGCTGGTTTTTAAGTGGAAATTTGAAGCAAATAATTTTTAAAAAAATACTAAATGCATTATCCTTCTAAATTGTTGTGTTACTTCATGCTGTCTACAAAATAAAATATATATATATATATATATATATATATTTTTTATTATCTTCGCTTCCAACAAGGTTGCAAGCAACCACTAATTAGTGTTGGAAGTTACTGGAAGAGAAAAGATGAAGATTGTAGAGCAAGATAACGATTGACAGACGACTTAAATATTGCAAATTATATGAATCAGGAAAGTAAGATGAAGGAAGCGAATTCCAAAGAACTGATGTTCGAGGAAAAAAACTAGACGAATAAGAGTTTTTGGAGCACTTAGGAACAGTAACAGAAAAAGGATGAGACTTAATTGAATGACGAGTAACACGAGAATGAATTTTAGTAGATGGCACAAGAGACACTAGCTCTTTAGAGCAGTGCCCATTATAGTATTTGTAGAAAAGAGAAAGAGAAGCAACATTACGACGATGTGACAGAGGTTGAAGGTTGGCTGCAAGAGCAGGTCCAACTATGTTTACAATGCGTTTTTGCACCTTGTCTAATAGAGAAACGGCATCATTAGAAGATCCGCCCCAGATATGGCAACAGTATTCCATACAAGGCCGGATTTGAGATTTATAGAGATGAAGAATAGAATCCAGAGTAAGAAAGTGACGAGCTCAATAAAGAGATGCAACTTTAGCAGATGCTAATTTTGCAATGGATTTGATATAAGGTTTCCAAGAAAGATCAGAAGTAAGAGTTAATCCTAGAAGATGAAGGGTAGGAGACTCATCGAGTACATTACCATTCATAAATATAGGAAGGTCTAAATTATTGTGATAACGATTGGCCGAAAAAAATTGAGTTTTATCTGAATTAAAGTTCACCAGCCACTGTGAGCCCCATGCTGTAGCAGAAGTGAGATCCTTTTCGAGCTCAGATGCCCCCTGCAAGCAATCAGAGGGAGTTGGCTTCTTATCGTGACAAGAATAAATGGTAGTATCATCAGCGAACAATGCCACCTTAGATGTGAGAATATCTGGAAGATCGTTAATGTAAATTAAAAAGAGTATAGGGCCAAGGATTGAACCTTGAGGAACCCCTGAGGTTACAGAATAAGAAGAAGAGTGCTATCCATCAAGTACAACTTTTATACTACGATTGGAAAGTTAGGATTCAATAATCTTAAAGATGTTACCAGCTACACCATAAGAAGAAAGCTTATGGAGAAGACCATCTAGCCAAACTTTATCAAACGCTTTAGAAATGTCAAAAGCGATGGCCTTAACCTCTCCACCTTTATCTAATGCGTGATAAAACCTATCGGTTATTACTGTTAGCCAATCAGCCGTAGAACGAGAAGATCGAAATCCATATTGATGATTAGAAAGTAAGTTTTAGATTCACGATGAGAGATTAAGTGTTTGTTAATTAAAGATTCAAAAACCTTGCTTATGATAGGAAGAAGACTAATGGAATAGTAGTTAGACAAATCGGATCGCTCTCCAGAATTTTTAAAAATAGGGATAACAGATGCTGCTTTCCAGCAGGCTGGAAAACAAAACTCTGATAAGCACTTGTTAAATAGTTTTGAAAGGATAGACAACAGCTCCGGAAAACACTTCTGCAAGACTATAACAGGTATGTTGTCCAGGCCGCAAGCTGTAGAAGAGTCTAAGCAGGAAATCACTTTAGATACAGAAGCTGGAGTGATACGAATGTCGAGCAATGGATCAACCTGTTTGACGGGTATATCAGGTAAAACGCAACTAGTGGCATCAAGAGATGATATTGATGAAAAGTTCTTGGCAAACAATTCAGCTTTGTCTTTAGGTGAGGTGATAAAGTCTGAACCGTACAAAAGAGGTGGAATTACAGACTTGCCCTTATTATTGATACTATTAAAGATTCTCCAGAAGTCACAAGAGCCTAATTTTTGTGATGAAATACGAGATTTCATGATCTGAGAATAGCGGGTTTTGGTGTTAGACAAAACTTTTTTACAATGGTTCGTAGCAGTAATAAAGAGACGTCTGTTTTCTGGAGAATTGTTTTGCTGATAGATATGGAAGTAATGGTTTCGATTGGCAATTGCAGCAGCACAATGTGAGGAAAACCATGGAGAAGAGTGAGGTTTGACCTGAAATCGTCGAGAGGGAATAAAGGATTCCATGCCAGCCTGAATCCACAAAGTTATGTAAGAAGCACATTTGTCAACAGGGAGACGAAAGATTTCTACCCAGGGGCCATCACGAAGAAAGTCACGAAAAGAGTCCCAGTCAGCTTTAAGGTAGTTGTAAGATGTACGATGATAGGGGGATTCTAATGGTAAAGAATATTAAATATATATATAGTTCTTATTCTTTTTGTCATAACTATGACAAAAAGAATAAGAACTATATATACATTTATTAGGCCGGGTGAAAAAAAATGAGCAATTGCTTCTTTCAGTAATTGGTCAGCTTTACATGAATAAAAACTTTAGGAATTTTGGTTAAGTTTTTATTCGCGTAAAGCTGAACAACTACTAAGTAAATTGCTTAACTTAACGTGAATAAAAGTTTGAGCAAAACTTCTAAAGTTTTTACTCACGTAAAGCTGACCAAATACTGAGTAAAAGCAATTGCTCATTTTTATTCACCTGGCCTATTGTTTATGAAATGATATTGTCCCTTATTTAAAACATGTGATATGCTCTAAACATTTGTCTGGAAATGTTAATTTGATAATGATGTACCTCCAACAATGTTTCATAACATTAATTTAATTTAATATAATAAAAGTGAAATTGCAACAGCATCAGCAAAATCAGGTATAACAACACAAACAAGTTTATTAGTAACAAATATTCAAATTTATCAGAAATATATTATAACATAATGAAATTACCAGTTTTAATGAAACTGATAACTTAGAATTCAGTGACATTGTAATGAAGGAACTGAACAACTACCAGTTCTAAGAAACAGGTGTAATGATGACATTGATGATGACAGGTGTAATGGTGACATTTATGATGACAGGTGTAATGATGACATTGATGATGACAGGTGTAATGATGACATTGATGATGACAGGTGTAATGATGACATTGATGATTACAGGTGTAATGATGACATTGTCTTACAATCAAAAGATTTTGTTCAAGGAACTGAAGTGCCATGATGAAGAACATTCTAATTATATAACCTTTTAGTTTTAATTTATATTGCATGCATGTTTTTCATGTCATAAAGTAGAATAAAATTAAGTCTTTATTTCATGAAAATATAATGATAATATTAATAATACTGTAATAACAATCATTGTTTATGCTGTATTACTATTATTATATTTAATTAAAGACTTTTTTTCATTTAATTTTATGTTGTAACAATGTGAATAATTTTATATTTATAATACTCTTTTAGATTTCTTCTCCAAATTAATAGTGATTCAACATATATAGCATTTTGTATAGACAAATTTTCTATTTTATCTGAATCAGTTCTTTTTTAAACAATATTGATATGAATAAAAAAAAGAAAGTTTTACAAGAAGAATTATTTTGCATTTTTTTTACAGTATTAATCATTAATTAAAGACTTTTTATTTCATTCAACAAGAAGAGTTATGCGATGAGAATAACTTTGTTGGAGAGCCTTTCTTTTTATCAGATATTGTTGTTCTAATAATATCTGGTGAGTGCAAAGGTTTTTACTGATGTAAAACTAATAGTTTTTTGTCAAGAAACCCTGACAGCTTTGAGAACAAAGCCAGTTAAAGGTTCTGTTGCTTTTCTGCAAATTTTTATTGATGCATGGAAGATCAGAAATGTATGAAGAATATCAGCAGCCTTGTTCATCAAGGTTTGTGTTTCGGAGTTAAAAAGTTGAGAGAGGGTTGTAACCACAAAAAGTAGACTCCTTGATTGTAGTGGTCGTCTCAGCCTTTGGGAGGTGAATAACATTAGAAAAAAAAAAAAAAAAAAAACAGAAAAAAACAGAAAAAAACGTTCACAAAACCAAAATAGATAAATAAATTTAATTTATTTTGAAATGTATGGTAGTTACTTGAAAAATCTAAATAGTGAAAGTTTTAAACTTCCTGGTGATACATTGTGTTTGTGGGTGTTTTTCTGATACGTTTTATTTATGAAACTAAATTTTGCTGTTATGATTTGATGAAAATCAGCATCTAAATATTTTAATTTGGTTAATCTAATTTATTTTTGATAAATAATATTATCAAGCTCTTCCAAAAATAAATGTTTTTAGTAGAATCTTATCTAATATACTTATAAACAACTATAAAAAACTGACTTCTTCGTGTTCTAAGAAAGAACCTGCACAAAAGTATTGAAGATTCAATTTAAAAAAACAAACAATTTTATTTAGTTTAATTGATAAGAAAATTAATATGAAATATTTGAATTAGTCATTTAATTACATTTTTGAATCTGTCATTTCACATTCATTTCAGCAAAATCCTCATCCAAAAAAGTAAACTTTTGGAAAATAAAAAAAACATTTACATGAGATGTTTCTCAAAGGAATGGATATTTTTTTAAATGTGGCATCACCATAGAGACTAAGTGAAGATGAATTGTTTTATTCTTATTGAATGTGTCTAGCCTTCATTAATATTTTAATGTCTAACCCATTATTGACAAAAAATGGACATGAGGTGTTTCTCATATGACTGATTTATTTATTTATCAAGATTTTAAAATTGTTTTCTGTTGTAAAATGTTAAATTAGTTAGGAAAATTTTATTTTACATTCAAATAGATTACTTGTCAGTCAAAGTACATATGCAATTCTGGGTTCCTACACACTTCAAGGTAGTTTTACTTTTTTTTCTTATCTTTTTTTATTAATTTTTAGTTAAAGAAAAATATTTAAATGAGCTACATAATTTCAAAATCTTATATTTTTAGCCGAGGTTGGAGATTTCAATTTCTCAGACACCAAAAGGGATTATTTGAGAAATTATCAGTTTTCACCAAATGATGTAAGAGATCAAACAAAAACTCCACTTTTTAAAAATATTTGAATTAAACTTAATATTTTTAATTAAAATGATAAAAATATTTTTAAAAAATTTTTTTTTGTTGTTATTTCTCTCTCTCTTTAAAGTTTATTAATTTGTTCATTTTTTGAAACCATACATTGATTAGGATGAATGGATTTTGGATAGAGTTTATAACCTGCATAAAGATCGATGGTATAGTTTTTACTATAACCTTTTAAGTAATTTATACAGTATTTAAAATAGTTTTTGAAAATTTCTTCATGTTGTGTTTTTCAATGATGGTGTTATAAAAATATTCTTAAAAGACTAAAAATTCCTAATGTAATCTTTTAAATGATAATTTAGTTTTTTTAAATCTTGAAAAATAATTTTTGATTCTAGTGGTCAATCTCCGGCACAAGCAGAATTAAACTTTCTTGAAATTGCAAAAAAAGTACCAAAGTATGGTGTTGATATGCATCATGCATATGTAAGCATAATATTTAAAAATATTTAACATTTAATCAGCTATATTAGAATCATACATTTAAATATACTTTTTTTCATAATTATTAAATCAAAATTTGAACTTTTTAGGTTGATTTAAAACCAGTTGAAGTTGGGGTAGCAGCATTAGGAATCAATATATATGAAGGGGAAAATAGAAAAAATATTTTACAATGGTATATGTGTATATGAAAAAGTATATGTGTATATGCATTTAAAAATATGTATATATATTTATATTTATATTAAGGTTATTCAAAAATAGGTCATGTCAAAAATTTGAAAAGAGCCCTAGCTTATTATCTGCCCTGACCCCAAATTAGTACTTAAAAATTTTAAGTATTATTGGAAAGGTCCCCACCGAGGACCAAAGAGTCAATTTTTATCCTATTTTTAGGATAACTTTACCTTGCTTGTAAGACCCTTAAATCTCAACCAGTTTAAAAAATAAATTATCCAATAACATGGTAATGAGTTCTACGACTCAAGTTTAAGGGGCTTTTTTCTTAAATAATTCTTTAAGTATCTTTTAGAATAATGAAAATCAAAAATGAAAAAAGCATAGAAAATCATCAAAACATTAAATTTTTGTTTGAATACAACAATAAAACTTTACCAATACAAAATAAAAACTAAAAATTTACAAGTTACAAGTTATAATTCAAAAATAAATTAGATCAAAAAATAATATTAAATAATACTATTGAGTGCCGCTTTGGCATGATCCAAGTTTTTTCTACCATTTTGATTACACTTGTACACATGAGTAAAAAGAAAAAAGTAAAAAGAAAGCCTCTTCTGAATGTACTTTGTTATTAAGTTGTTGAACTAATTTGAAATTCATGATGGCTGTTTCAAATTCTTGATAGAAATCATTTAAAATCCAATACTATGGAGGAAGCTTCATTCATTAAACCCCAGCTTTTCGATGACCAAGCATGTCAAGCTTAAGCCAGGACTTCTCTGAAACTAGTGGAATTAAACTGGGAGGCTCATCTTGTAAAAAGTTTAAGCTCATCAGAGTGTCTTTATCCAACACCTGTCTTTCTAAGGAATACTCCTCTATAGGGGCTCGTTTTAGACCAAATAGTCTCTTAACCATGTTCCTACATTATTTACATTACATCTGATCTGCAATTGCTATAATGACTAAATATGGATCAAGGTAGTATGTCGCATTATGGATTTATAAACAGCTTGATCCGCTGCTTTATTCGAGTCCTCAAACCTTTTCATTTGCCAGTATGCTTTCATATCCTAATAGTTAAGGCCTAGATTTATAAATGTTTAATTTAAAAATAAATAATACCTATTTTATGTATTTATTCAAAATTATGTATTTGTTTTAAAACAATTATTAAGATCGTGTACCTGCGTCAGAGCAGCAGAACTTAGCTCCCCTCTAAGAAACCATTCAGTGTAAACAATGGAAAGGAACTATGTCATTTCAGTGATTTTATCCCCGGTCTCTTTATTGATTTCAGAGATTTTTTCCATAAGTAGAAACAGTTTTAGGTAAAATAAACTTTTACCCATGAATCTGGCATAATGAACAGCTCCAGAATTGTGAAGTTTAATTCTTTCAGTGTGTGACAATATCATCAATGTAAGTTCAGCCAATTCCTGATAATCTTTATGAAACTTTCCATCCTAAACAAATTTTTTTATTAAGTTATAATAACTTAAATAACTTAAATAACTACACAATTATAAAACTGGAAAATTATAAGTGAAGCACTACTTTTTTTTTTATTTTATTTTTATTTTAATTCACCTTCTCAAGGCCGAGAAGGCCACTACAGACGAGGAGGCTACTTATTTGTGGCTATAACCCTCTCTCAACTCTATAACTCCGAAACACGAACCTTGACGAACAAGGCCGCTGCGCGGAGAAACGAGTTGAGCGCGGTACTACCAGGGACGTGGTGGGGATCGAACTCGGAACCACTCGTTTATGAAGCGAGCGCTCTACCACTACACCACTACCGCACTACTTTACTATACTATTTTTTTGAAATAGTAAGGGATAATTAGATTTAATTGAAATTGAATTGAAATTGTTAAAATTTTGAATTCAACTCCAATTTTAATATCTTTAAAAAAACCTTAATTTTAATATCTTTAAAAAAACCTTAGTTCTAATTATATATCTGCCAAATTGAATAGCACTCAGCCTTTGTTCATTAATCCTGGAATCAGAAGGAGTTGACAATCTTTTTAAATCTTGATTTTCAATATCTAGATCATTGCAATGGCTCTTAAGAACTTTAAATAGGTATAACCGCTTGAATAAAGCTCCCAAAAATGGGTGACAGGGCGCTCAAAAATATGGCGTCGACATGCAGAATTAACATAGGGTGCTGTAAGTACACAATGATTCTGCTACTAGCTCCTTTTGATTAACCTATGTTAGTGCTAGTGGTATCAAAGCAAAGACACTGAACTTTATCCTCTAATCCAAAGTTAGAAATAAGTTCTTCTATAGCTTCTTTTTGGTGTTCTCCAGAACATTAGTCAATAGCTGAAATTCCAAGTAAGTCGGTGTGTCCTTTAATCCTAGCAAGAACAGCTAACCTATCTATTTAAAACTTTTTTCCTTCAGTAAGTTCTTACACAATTTTTCTGTCAAAATGAATTGTTATCAGAGAATTTGAAGATTTAGAAATGCTTTTCATATGGTTTCTGATTTCATTTGACCCATGAACACAGCGTTCTCTGTTGCTCTGTATGAAGAAGAGTTTGAGCATACAAACTCAAAATCCTCCAGAATTGACAATACTAAGAATTGCTGTATGTTGATGTGAAGTGGACCCTCTCTAACTGCTGTATGAACAGTATGGTGCAAGATATCCTTGGGTAGGTTTACAGAATTTGTAGGATCAATATGTGGCTCAATTTCAAATTCACTATCAGTTGAATTGCTTTTATTGGTATTAAAAGAAATTAATGAGTTTTCAGAATCAGTATCAGATACATTGTTTAATTTATTATAATTACATTTAGATTTATACTTTCGTTTTAATGAAAACTGAAATCTTTTATCTAATCCCCCTAACCTTCCTTCCCTTTCCTCTAACTTGTCTTCCTTTTTGTCATTTTGGTTTCTCAATCTATCTTTCCTCATTTTTTCAATCATATTTAGTGGGTTTTCTTCAATCCAGAAAACCTTTTTCATATTTTCTATAAAGTTCTTTTTTTTTTCACTTCAGCAGGATTGGTTCTTTTACTTAAGCTTTTCAGCTTCATCCAGTCCTTTAATTTTTTGACCTTGATCCTATAAAATAGAATTATTGTTAAATGCTTATAAAAACTTAAATATATATTTTAAGGTTTTGATAAGGTTATACAGTTTGATCTAATAATCATCTCAGTTTATGAGTTGTAATTGAATGTAATTGGAGGTGAATTAACATTTAAAAAAGATAAAGTAAAATTACTTCAAATCCACCATGTTTCCATGGAACTACAAGTTTAGATATTATGCAGCAATATAACTGACTGGGTAGGAATGTGAGAATGATCCACTTTTGTTTGGATATCCTACAATAAAACTTAGTTTAATATCAGATCTAGATTTTCTCAGAAAGTTGTAGTATTAAATAATTTCTTGTGCAGTCACAAATTTGTCATTGGGAAAAATACAATTTATTTTTCCCACTAGAAACGTATCATCAATTCTTTCAATTTTCTTTTTGGGTGACATCAAATAAATTATTAGTATTTTATGTTAATCTAAAATTAAAAGTTTACATAAAAGTATGTTAGATAAAATAATCATATAAGATTTTATTTTAATTTTGAAAATGAAAAATTTATTTTTTATTTTATTTAAAATCTTTTTTATTCTTTGTTCAAAACAAAATTTATTCAGCAAAAAAAGTTATGTTTTCAAATGTAAAATTGTATACAAAAATTGAAATGTATGATATTTTAAAAATACCCATTAAAAACCCACTTTTTGTTGACAAAAACAAATACCTTGTGTTTGTTTATTAAAGAAAAGAGCCCCTTTAACCTTATAGTAGAACTCATTACCATGTTATTGGATAGTTTATTTTTTAAACTGGTTGAGATTTAAAGGTCTCACAAGCAGGGTTAGTAGAGTTTTCCTAAAAACACGGCAAAAATTGACCTGTTTGCCCTCTATGGGGACCTTTCCGATGTTCAAAAAAAATTTTGTAAAAAATTTAAAGTAATAATTTGGGGTCACGGCAGATCATTAGCTAGGGGTTTTTTCAAATTTTTTACATGACCCGATTTTAATAACCCTGATATATATATGGTTTAAATATAAGCTACTTTAAAACATCAGATAATACATATTTTCTCAATACTAAATAATTTATTTGAAATTTTTGCTGGATTATAGGCACTGGCATCATCACCATATAATATTTTTTATAACAATTTTTGTAATTATATTATATTATTTGCTGATGATGCCGGTGCCTAAAATCCAGCAAAAATTTCAAATAAGTTATTTAGTATTGAGAGAATTTGTATTATTTGATGTTTTAAAGTAGTTTATATATATATATATATATATATATATATATATATATATATATATATATATATATATATATATATATATATATATATATATATATATATATATATATATATATATATGTTTAATTTAAAATTGTATATATTTCTAATATATATTAATATAGTATATATGTTACAAATAAAAATAATTGTCAAATTTTGCTTTAATATTTTTATTTTTAGGCAAAGTATTGATGTACTTTCTTATAAGAAACGTAAGATGACTGTTAAACTAAAGCAGGTAATACAACTCTGAAGAACTAACATTATTTTGAGTTATTTAATAAGTTTGACAACCTAAAAATATGTATATAATAGTATACTATAATTTAGTAACCCCTAATTTGACAACCTAAAAATATGTATATAATAGTAGGGTAGATTAGGGTAATATGAGCACCTTGCTAATATGAGCATACTAAAAAGTTTCTAAGATGTAAGCATTGAAGTTAAAATTGTTCTGTATATTTTGAATCCACTTTATGTGGTGATAACCGAAATCAATATAATTAGTGTAATTATATATAGAGTAAAATAAAATATATAAAGTAGTGTTAACATATATATAGTAGTGTTAATATATATATATATATATATATATATATATATATATATATATATATATATATATATATATATATATATATATATATATAAATATATATATATATATATATATATATATATATATATATATATATATATATATATATATATATATATATATATATATATATATATATATATATATATATATATATATATATATATATATATATATATATATATATATATATATATATATATATATATATATATATATATATATATATATAAAGTAATGTTAAAATAATGAAATTTAATTTTTCATAAAGAAAAATAGGTTAGCTAGAAATCCGTTTCATCTTTGTTTAAAAAAGAATGCATAGAAACATTTAGTTTTGACTTTATTTAAAGATGCTATTTTTGTGTAATATGAGCATGCTCAAATTACCCAGTGTTTTTTCTTGAAATTATCTTGTTTAAAATCATAAAATTGCAGTGGTTTTAATTTATTTTTGAATAAAACAAAACATAGTAAAACTTTTTAAATATTTTAACAATACTAAATATCGTTTTAAATCGTTTAAATGTTTGAGTTAATAAAATTGAAAAAGTGATAAACTGATATATATGTATTTTTCTTTTGCGTAAGACAAATTAGTATTGTTTCAATAAAAAGTGGTATCGAATTTAATCTTTTAATGATAAGTTTTGTTAATAACAAATCATAATATTGCTCAAATTAATTCTAATTGTTCCATATGGTATGGATGGTATTTTTTCACTTAATGTTATTTTTTAATCTAATTTAAAGTGCTCATATTACTAAGTGGTCTGGGTAATATGAGCACTTTTACTAGTTTTTTAAAACCTCTGTGTTCTTAATAAATAATTTTGGGTGCCCAAATATCTATGTGGATCATGAGGAGTAATCCCTATAAATTGTTTTCTCGCAACAAATTTGAATCCAAAATTATTTTAGAAAATATTTCAATTTTTGCTCAAGGTGCTCATAAGTTTGAAAACCTAAAAACCTTGAGAATGAAAGTTGCTTAGATTATTATCAGATTAAAAATAACAGTGGTTTAGTAGTTTATAATTTGTGCATTTTTTATTAATAAATATTTGTAAAAATTGTTTTGTATGAATTTATGGATAAGGTTTAAGAAAATGTGTTCATTCAGTCATCGCTCAGTCTAGTTTAACTTTGAAGAAAATTTTGTATAATATTTGACTGAACAATAGGCTTTCATTATCCAGTCTAGTTCAAGTAATACAGATTTTCTGTAAGTTTTAATGCTTATATATTATCATAAAAGTTATTATAATTGTATTACTTATAATACAATTTCAACTTTATTTAGGGTTTAGTAGATGAGGATAACAAAAAGAAGCCAAAATTATTATACTGTTTTTTGTTTGACTCAGCAAAACTGTGTAAACAATGCTATAAGTCATGTGTTGAGTACCACACCTTTTTCAGATTAACTCACCCTGACTCTCCTAGAAAGAAAACAGATAAATTAAAACCTGGCTCTAGTTTTAGATACAGGTAAATTATTTAAAGTGTTATTGAGGATTTTTTATTTGAATTTTTATAGTGATTAAACATTTATTAGTTGAGTCTATTTAACATTATTTATGCACTTTTACAACTTAAACATTTATTAGTTGAGTCTATTTAACATTATGTATGCACTTTTACAACTTGAAAAGGTCAGAAATATAAGGCATAGTTACAAATATTTTTTATATATAACATAACAGGTAAATTTTTAAATTTTGTTTTAGTGATCGTACATTATATCAACTACGTCAAAGATCTGCTACTGAGAACGGTTCAAATCGTCGTTTCAATAGAACTCCTAGTATTAAAAGTAAAGATAAAAATGAAAAAATAGAACCTCAAAAGAATGACTCCAGAAATAAAGGTATTTTAATTTGTAACTTGTTGTTTTTTATTGTTAATATTTTAGTTTAACATTTGAAAAAATTTCAAAATTTATATATATACACACATAATATTACAAAATATGTTTTTTTTATGCTCTAATTAGTAAATTTAACTAACTTACCAAAGTTATCTAACTTACTAAAGTTAATTAAATATTAAATTTTATTTACTAAATTTAACTAATTTGTTAAATTTAACTGACTTACCAAAGTTAACTAACTTAAGTTAATTAAATTACTAAATTTAAATAACTTACTAAATTTAACTAACTGACTTGTTTGCTTTCAGTGCCTTAAATAATTATTAGTTGTAATAAATAGCCATGTATAGTATTTAAGCTGTTGTTGATGGACAGCAATTTTTTTTATTTTTAATAAAAATGAAAATTTTTTTAATAAACTACTATATATTGTATTTATATATATTTTTTTAATTATAAATTTGTTACTTTAACTATATATTTAATTTATAGATTTTTAATTTAAGTTTTTTTATTATAGATAAAGAAGTTTCCAGTGTGCTTGATGTACAGGTGCAGTATGAAGAAGTTGATATTGATAGTGAAAATTACAATGACCGTGATTTTGATCCTAAAGTAAGTACTGTCCAAATTAAATTTTAAAACTTCGTGCTTACTTACATTTTTAAGAAAAAGAATTATTTTAGGAATGGGAAATCGTTGATAAAGTTTGTGCAAATGGTGTTCTTAAAAAGATTTGTAGAAGAAAAATTCCTTTAAAGTATGACCAGGCATTTCAAGAAAATCAACAAGATAAAAAGGAAACTTTTGAAATTGAGTATATACCACTTCAATATGAAGAGATTGAGTTTGATAAACAAATTCTTAATCATTATGTTTACGACCCATTGGTATATTTTTTATTCAACAGTTTTATAGAACTATGTGAAATTACAAAAAATTTGTTTGAGAAAATATAATTCAAAGAAATTGTTTATAATTTAAAGTAATTTTATTCTTATGCAGGAGTGGCAAGAAGTTGAAAAAAAATTTCCTGATGGTGAAGTAAAGTATTTTCTTCGCAAAAATTTTGTTGTCCAAATTAAAAAATTTGTTATCGAGAATAATAAAAAGTATGAAGTTTTAGAAGAATTTCCATTGCATGAAGAAGATATTGTAAACTATGAAGAAGTTTTGTATAATGAACATGACAGTTTCGATAAAAAGGTTTTATTTACTCTTAAAAATTATGATTTGTTTTTCATTTTTTTTATTTTATCAATGATCATTATTTTAGAATAATTTTTTTTTAATTAGAATTTAAATTTTTTTATTTATTAATTTTTTTTATTTGGAGAATTTTTTTTTTTAAATTTATTTTCATTTTACAGAATTTTTTTTTAAAGGAATGGGAAATTGTTGAAAAACCATTCCCAGATGGAACAAAAAAGTTGATCAGACGAAAGACTTTATCAATAACTCCACAAAGGTTTGTTACAAAAAAAGATGGAGAAAAATTCAATGTTTTTGATCATATTCCAGTTGTTAACCAAGTATCGTCATCTGAACTTGAAGCATCTTCAAAAGATATTGAATTAAATGATACAAATCCAGAATCGTTACAATATAATGCAAATGTAAAACAAAAAATTTTCATGTTGTTATAACCTTTCTCTTTTTTCTTTACTTTGTTTGATATATATTTTCTTAATACAATTAAAAAAAAAAGTTTTATCTTTTTTTTTTTTAAACTGCAATAAAGTCTCTAACAGCAAAAAAGTTATTTTTGATGATAGGAATTAATAGGTTAGGTTGAATTACAGAAGTAAATGTAAAACATTTGCCTGTTTGATGATAGGAATTATTAGGTTAGGTTGCATTACAGAAGTAAATGTAAAACATTTGCCTATTTAATGATAGGAATTAATAGGTTAGGTTGCATTACAGAGGTAAATGTAAAACATTTGCCTGTTGTTTTTTTTTTAAACTTACATAAATGTATATGTATATTTTCATTTTTTTAAAGACAATTTTTTTTTTTAACAAAATGTTTTTTATTTGGTTTTTTAAGGAATGGGAAGTTGTAAAACAATATTATCCAGATGGTTCTAAAAAAACAATTCGACGTCCAAGGAATGCAAAAGCTATTAAACAATGTAAAATTCTTGTCAAAGAAAATGCCAATGAGATTATTTCAGATGCCAATGTTGTTTTTGTTGAGGAAATCTCTCCTAAAGTAAAAGATAGAAACAAAGTTATACCAGAGGTGTTTTTTTTGTTGTTTATTTTTTTAAATTTTTTGCATAAAGATAAAATTTTGTATCCCTTTAGCAAGCACTCATTTTTTATAGTGTATTATATGGGTATATGCCTTGCTAAATCATACTAGCAAGCAAGTTCGTAGAAAGAATGCTTACTCTCTAAAAATATAAAAAATTTATAAAAACATAAAAATTAGTAAAATAAAAATATTAAATGTTTTGATACTAAGAAAGCATCGTAGAAATGGCATTAAAAATATAGAAAATAAATTAAATGTTGTATAATATTTGTTAATTCTGTTTTTAAGTGGTTTTTAAATTTCTATACTTAGGAAGGTAGTTTTGTTAAAAAAGAAGAAGTTAACAAAAGTTTTACTGCTATTTCAACAAAACCATTTGTATTTGAACCATTTATCAAGGAAGAATGTCCTTATGAAGATGATCCTGTTGAGTATGAGGAGGTTGATATTGATCCGAATAATCCCGAATCACTTGCCTTTGATTTAACGGTAATGTTTTAGAAAAATATTTAAGAATAAAATAGTAAAAATAAGTTGTTTACAATATAATAATATTTAAACAATAGTATGTAGTTAAAATAGTGTTTTCATGTTTTTCTTGAAATTCTTGAACAATAATATTTGTTTTCCTTGGAAAGGTTTGGGAAGTAATAGAAAGAAAAATGCCAGATGGCAAAATTAAAAAAGTGCGAAGGCGTGTAGTTATTGTGAAGAAAAAGAATGTTAATGATTTTGAAAAAGAAATAACAAGTAAAGAAACAAAAGAAATACCTGTTGAAGAAAATCTTATTGAAGATAAAAATGTTTACCAGGAATATGGTGAAAATGATGATGAGGTATTATATACTTAATTTTACCTGTTATGGCTTTAAAACAGAATATACAGAAGTTCTAAATAAAAAAAGAAAGAATAAATTAAGAAATAAATTCAAGAATAATATAAAAAACTACAATACCTTTTATAGGTTTGTACACTGCATATAACTGAACTTTAGATAATGTTCTTCTTAAATTTATGTTGCTCATATTTTAACTCTGGTAGCATGTAGTAGCTTATATTTTAACTCTGGTAGCATGTAGTAGTTTATATTTTAACTCTGGTAGCATGTAGTAGCTTATATTTTAACTCTAGTAGCATGTAGTAGCTTATATTTTAACTCTAGTAGCATGTAGTAGCTTATATTTTAACTCTAGTAGCATGTAGTAGCTTATATTTTAACTCTGGTAGCATGTAGTAGCTATGTTATATTTACAAACATTCTAATATTTAAAAAAAATAATATATATAAACATTCTCTATTATTTAAAAAAATTGAGTTCAAATTTATAAAAGAATATTTATACAGCATTTTTAGTACATTTAGTACAGAGCAAAAAATCTAAAAATTTGAAGTTTTATAAAAATAAATGAGTATAGAAATTTTTCGAAATAAAAATGCAACGTGAATGTGTACTTATGTACAGACGCAACACATAAACATTTAGAGTCAATAGTTATGCAGAAGCATTTAGATTACTACAAAAAATTTCTAAAAAGAACTTGAAATTTTTAAAGATCCGTTTAGAACAATAAAATAGAATTGACATACAATAGAAAACACATACAACTACAATATAGAATTGACACTTAGAATTAGAAAATTATAGTTTATAACTTTTATTGTAAACTGAGCAAACTTTTTATAAATACCATTTTTAAATATTTGTACTTGTATGCACTAGTGTCATTAAAAGCCAGTGTATAAAATAAAAAAGTCATGAAATCATGATTCTTTTAATTTTAGAATAGTTAAATTTATATATGAAAACTTAATTAAAAACTTCCTGTGGGAAAAAAAAAAATTAAATAATAATAAAAGTTAAATTTATAATTGTATGAAAAAAAAAAGATTTTAGTGGTATTTTAAACTAATTTTTTCTAGGAAGAAGAAGAATGTGCAGAACCTGTTTTAGTGGAAGAAGGACCACTGCAATATGAAGAATTCGAAATTATTGAAAATCAACCAAATAACATTGATATAGATCCTTCAGTAAACTTTTGTTTTGTATTTACTAACATGTTTTTTTTTAAAAAAAAATTATTTTAGTCTTAACTTTAAATTATTTTTTTTGTATTATTTTATTCTTAACTTTAAATTATTTTTTTTGTATTATTTTATTCTTAACTTTAAATTATTTTTTTTTGTATTATTTTATTCTTAACTTTAAATTATTTTTTTTTGTATTATTTTATCCTTAACTTTAAATTATTTTTTGTATTAATTTATTCTTAACTTTAAATTATTTTTTTTTGTATTATTTTATTCTTAACTTTAAATTATTTTTTTTTGTATTATTTTATTCTTAACTTTAAATTATTTTTTTTTGTATTATTTTATTCTTAACTTTAAATTATTTTTTTTGTATTATTTTATTCTTAACTTCAAATTGTTATTTTTTTTTTTTTGCATTATTTTATTCTTAACTTTAAATTATTTTTTTTGTATTATTTTATTCTTAACTTTAAATTATTTTTTGCATTATTTTATTCTTAACTTTAAATTATTTTTTTTTGTATTATTTTATTCTTAACTTTAAATTATTTTTTTTTTGTATTATTTTATTCTAAACTTTAAATTATTTTTTTTATATTATTTTATTCTTAACTTTGAATTATTATTATTTTATTCTTAACTTTAAATTATTATTTTTGTATTATTTTATTCTTAACGTTAAATTATTTTTTTTGTATTATTTTATTCTTAACTTTGAATTATTATTATTTTATTCTTAACTTTAAATTATTATTTTTGTATTATTTTATTCTTAACGTTAAATTATTTTTTTTGAATTATTTTATTCTTAACTTTGAATTATATTTTATTAATTCATAAAATTAAAATCTAATTCTTAAAATTAAAATCTAAGACTGGTGCAATACCATTGCCAGTAAGAAAAACAGAGCCAAAAAAATTGTTCAATAGTTGCGATTTTTCACAATCATCTGTAATAAGGGAACCATCAGTTTGAAGTAATGGCACAACAGAATTTTAGCATTTGGATTTTTTATTTACCAAAGAGTAAAATTTGGCGATATTAGATTTAACAACTAAATCTTTTTCTCTGGAAATTTTTTTGAACTTCTGCATCATGTAAATGGGAGCAGATCTTGAATTCGGCACAAGTAGATGGATTACCTGTTCTTTTGTAATCTCTATAGAGAGTACGTTTTTTGGAGGCTAATTATTTGGATGTCTAGAGGTTGGATATTGTTTTTTCTGTTAAAAGTTAACATGCGATGAGATAGATAAATTTAAAAAATTACATATAGTTTGCCAGAATGTTTTAACATCTTGATTTTGTTTGGCTAGTAAATACCAGTTTACATTTTGTAAATTGGAGATTATAGTGTTATAATCAGCTTTGAAAAAATTATACTTGGTCAAGCCTTCCCAGGAAAGGCGTGCGGTTTTTTGTCTTGTATGACCACATGCGATTATATTATTTTAGAAAACGTGAACACGGCCGTTTGCAAGTTTTATAATAATGCTGAAAAAGTTTCAAAAACAAAAAAACTAAACTAACAAAATAAAAAAAGAGATTGAAATAGAAAAAAATAAAAACAAATTAATAATTTAAATAATTTGTGTACTGTTTTTATTTTTGTGTACAGTTTTTATTTTTGTTTCTTTTTACATTCAGCAACAATGGTGAAGCAAAAAAAAAACAGTTTGAAGTCTACAATAAAAAGAATGATTTTCCTTTTCTTAATTTTTTTTTAAGAGGATAGCAAAAATACAAATTGCAATGTGTTTGTATAATTTTAATTTAACAACAAGGGTTGAATTAAGCGAATGCAAAACGCAAAATCTGGAAAAATATCTATATTTAAAATTTTAGTTTATACAAAACGTGTTCCTTATTTTTAAGGAGAGAATCGACTTAAATTTGTTAGCGAAAAAATAAAAAAATAAAAAAATAAACTTATGATTACAAAGTAATAACACTCTAATCACTTACTGCATTAAAAAGTAATGACACTATAATAGTGTTATTACTTTAAAACGCACTTATAACTTTTAAACTTCATTCTTTGTTCAAGCAACATTAGTATTCCCAAATTTTAATTGAAGTAGAAAAATATCTAGAAGAATAAATTGGATGTTCAAATAATATTAAAACTAAAGTAACTTATAAAAACGTGACAAACAGCTTTATGAAAACGTATCGTATTAAAAGTTTAGCATTATGAAATTTGTTACTAATGGACCGTAAAAACGTGCATTAATTTTAAAATTAACCAATAAAATTTTTTTATTGGTTGATTTTAAAATTAACGCGCGTTTTTATGTAACGTTTTTCATAATGCTATACTTTTTATAAAGTACTTTTTTATAACGTTGTTGAAGTGATAAGTGAAAGTTCCTGAAATTTTTAATAACATTTGAATATCCGCTTTATTTTTTCTAGATGCTTTTCTACTTTAATAAATGTTTGGAATTAATAATGTTGTTAGAACAAAGAATGAACATTAAAAGTAATAAGTGTTTTTTTTTTTTTTTTTGTTATTTCACCTCCCCAAAGCCGAGAAGGCCACTACAGACGAGGAGGCTACTTAATTGTGGTTGTAACCCTCTCTCAACTCTGTAACTCCTAAACACGAACCTTGATGAACAAGGCCGAATCGAACTCGGAACCTCTTGCTTATGAAGCCAGCGCTCTACCACTATAAATCTACGCATATATAAATGTAATAACAATATTATAGTTTTATAAATGTAATAACACTATTATAGTTTTATTACTTTTATAATGCAGTTAGTAACTAAAGTGTTACTACTTTTGTAGTCGTAAGTTTATTGTTTTTGTTTTGTTTTTTGTAACTTTCTCGCTAGCAAACTTTTAATAATTAGGTCCTTATAAACAAAGTACACAGCTTTGCATGAACTATAATTTTAAAGACCTAATATTTTACCAGAGTTTCCAAACGCGATCATATAATTTAACTCTTGATATAAACTTGTTACATTATAATTATACAAATATATTTTACAAACAGATGGCGATACATATTTTCTCTTTCCTCTTTAAAAGAAAAAACACATAAAATATAAGAAAGTCATCCGAGATCATGTTCTCTAACTTGAAAACGTTTTCGTGGTTGTACGAGACAAAAAACCGCACAACCTTCCTGGGAAGGCTTGCTTGGTCATTTTTGTATATGGTTTATATTTCTCCAAAGTACAATTGAAAATAATCGTGCAGTGGTACTCGTGAATGGGGCAATAGTTTCTATATTAAAAACGTTTTTAGAGTTGTTGGTTAGTATCAGATCTAGAAGGTTGTTATGTTGAGTATTGTCGGATAATTTTTGGATTAAAGCATTTGCGGAGCACGTTTCTACAAAAAGGTCATGAGATGAATCTCCGAAACTAGTTGGGATTGACCAGTTTATAAGTGGCAGATTAAAGTCGCCTGCTATGATGCATGTAGAATCGCAAGTAGAGGTAATTTTGTAAATTACCTTGCACAAAGCTTTGGTTTTTAAAGTACTGATGGCTGCACATGGAGGGTGATAAATGCATGCAATTCGTATTTTTTGCTCAATTGATAAGACAAACACGTTGACACATGTAATTTCAGTATTTAGTAGTCCCATTGGAATATTAAAATTCGTTTAAAGTGAATGGATATTATCGCACACTAATATAAGTGAACCCCCACCTTAACTATTTCGATCATATCGATATACTTTGAAATTCTTGCCATTCAATAATAATGAGTCAGGTGTTTTTTTATTTAGCCAAGTTTCGGTAATAAGTATGATATCAAGATTGCAGTTTTCGAGGAGATTGTGTAGGTAGTGTAGTTTATTATTAATCGATCTAGCATTGAAGTAAGCACAGCTAATGGTATTGAAAGAATATTGCTTAACTTTTGTTTTGTTGTTATAGTTAGCTTGATTTACACTGAGTTTAGGATTAGTGTGGTAGTTGCATTTACCGGTGTTATTATTACTTTTTTAAATTTTGTTTGTTAAACTTTGAAACATTTTTTATGATGGCGCTGCTTCTAATGCAGTATCAAAAGGACAAATTGAGTTTTCCATTTGCTTGCAATTCGTTGTTTTTAATTTTTCTTTCTTGAAGCAACATTTTCATATTTGATCTCTCTGCTTCATTAAGATCTGGATTTATAAACACCTTAACAAATTCTGTTGTGGTTTTTAAGGATTTGGCAGCGCTAAGAATGAAGTTACGATCACTGACATTTATTAACTCAACTAAGACTGGGCTATTTGTATTTTGTTGAGGTTGTGTAGTTGAAGTTAAGGTTGTTGGCATATAGGAAGATTTTTGTTTTGGTTTAAAACTTTTTTGATTTTTATTTCCACTAATTTGGATTGAATTAAAAAAAATTTCAACTAGTTGGTGATCACTGTCATTAGGGTTTTCAGTATCTTGTTGTGGAAGGCCAAATATTATTAAGTTTTTTGCTCTTTTTTCTGTATCCTTAACGATATCGGTAATTGCCTTGGAAATGCTAAGTTGTTCCGGGGGTTTAGTTTTAGTTTTAAATAGAGCTCATGTTTGTTTTACTATTGCAGTTATTGTCATTTCTTAATATTTCGTTTTCTTTTCTGCAGATTAACAACTCTTATAGTTAATAGTTCAACTGCTTTCTTGAGCATTAAGAATTCCTCTTCTTTTGCTTTTTTTGGTGCTCCAGGACCTTTCTGTGACATTTTTATTTGAGAGATCTTCAACCGAGTACAAAATTGCCAAACCACCCAGCAACAAACTTTTTCAATTTTTTAAATTAGTTATATATATATATATATATATATACATATATATATATATATATATATATATATATATATATATATATATATATATATATATATATATATATATATATATATATATATATATATATCACCTTTTTTATTTTTATTTAAATGCAAATAAATTGAAATAATAATAAATAATATATATTTTTTTTTTTTGTATTATTTTATTCTTAACTTTAAATTATTTTTTGTATTATTTTATTCTGTTTTAGGATTGATTTGATTTTTTTGGAAAATATAAACTATTTTCTTTTGTCTCTATTTTGATTCAATTTTTAGGACTGGGAAATTGTTCAAAAAGAAAATGATAAAGGAGAAGTACGTAAATGCTACAGACGAATGATTGGAATAAAAACAATTAAAATGCAAAAGATTACCCATAATTCAATTGATGTTGTGTCAAATAAAGCTAATGATACCAGTGCTCCTATTTTAGTTGAAGAAATTCCAGTTGAATATGAGGAGTTTCCATTGGATAACTCAGATCTTTATGATCCAAAGGTTTTATATTTCACTATATTATTTTTGCTAAAACTGTTATATACTATTATATTTATAAAATATATTTATTTATAAGTATTTAATATTATAATTTATGTTGTATATTGCTAAAATTATTATAGGAGTTAAAGTTATTACATACATACAAAGGTTTGTTACAAATGACTTTTTCAAATAAGTCTTAGCCAGTTGAACATTATTGTTTAAGGCTGTTATCATTGGTTATTTTCTTGTTGCAAAATGAAACTATCCATAACTAAATAATGTCCATGTAAAATGACATGATGATATTTGTTAGGTTATCTTTCTATAGCTTAAGCTCTTTTGATGAAGTCTAACCCTTAGTTGATGTGCCAAAACCTCTTCATGTTTGTCTATCAAACCTCTTCATGTTTGTCCATCAGAAATATATCTTGGTTGGTACTTTAATAATTTATAATAATACTCTAATATAATACAAAACTCGTTTGTGTTAAAATTCATTATTTGTTCAATACTGCTACAATAATACCGACAAGTCAAAATAGTTAAAAACTATAAATTAAAACTTAAATTAAACCTTTTTTTTTATTTTATATTATTATAAAATATTTTTTAATTTCTTAAATAAAATATGTTGATTCTCGGTGTAGTTAAGGCACTTTTAAAATATTATAGCGTCTGTATGATATTTAGTTGATTATGACATATTTCCGTGAAATGGTCTGGTCTGTGAATTATGAAAAGACGAAAAAAATTAAAATAATAAATTTTGCGGTATCATAAAATATAAATGTTTGTAGCGAAAAAACCCAGACCGTGGAATCTTTTTTTTTTTTTAAAAAATAATCATCTTAAAATCACAATCGCTCGTCCAAATTTAATTAAGATTTTATATTAATACATTTTTTAGGCGAAATGAACATTATAGTTTAACAATATGATCTGTTCTGATCGTTTATTGGCAATTTTCTATAATTATAAGCTCTTTCTTGGTTGGAATTCCAGTATTTTTTGTGAAAATTGATAGAAGTATTGTGTTTTGACAACTATATATAGTTAATATACGTCAGAACCGATTAGAACTAGGATCAGTACTAAATTAAGTAACTTTTTAAAAAGATTTTAACTAAATTCATGTTAATGTCGATGAGCGAAATTGATCTAAAGACTCCAAAATAGTGTTCTTTAGATACATTATTACGGGTTGTAAAAAGATTTTAAAAATTATATATAAAAAAGAAAAGTTTCTTTAAATATTATAAAAACCTTAAGCAAAAAAAATTATAACATTTAAAGATCTTGTTTGGGCATAATATGCTGACAAAACCATGCTAATTCCAAATTAAGTATTCAAATATTTTGTAAATCGCCTTAACTACACCAAGTTATTATTAAAAAAAAAATTATAAAATTTCTATCAAAATATTCTACTACAGCTTGTTAGGGTACATGTTTTATGTAATCATTTTAATGATTTTTAAGGATTGGGAAATCGTTGAGAAAACTCAACCAAATATGCAAATCAAAAGATGTCGACGACGAATTATTGTAAAGCCTTTATCTAAGAACAAATTTTTTCTTCATCCTGATGGAAATATTGAGCCAGTTTCCTGTGAAAATCTCAAAGAAGATGGACCTTTATTATTCTATTTAAAAGCTCATCAAGATATAACACCAATTCAACCAAATGTAATCATTTGTTTTAAAAATAAGGTTCTTATTTATTATTACTAACATTTTTTTCAGTATGTTTTTTATTTAATTTTAGGAAGAAGTTGTTGCTCATACAACTAATAGTACAACCATTAAAGTTTGTCAGCAGTTTATTGCTACCAAACAAGTGAAAGCTTTTCGAATTTTTATTCATGCAGATGGATCTAGAGATATTGAACAAATTTCTCAAAATGCTCCTTCTATTGAAGAAGAGCTTTCTGTAAAATGTGAAGAAGTAGATGAAACAGAGTCTACTCCCTTAAACAATGATGTAAGTCATGATTTGCTATTGAAATGTAACTTTAAATATAATTTTAACACAAGCAATATGATCATATTATAAATTAAAACAAATATCTAAAACAAAGGAACTGATGTATATATATATATATATATATATATATATATATATATATATATATATATATATATATATATATATATATATATATATATATATATATATATATATATATATTTTCAACATAATTAAAAACCTTTTTTTTAGAGCATTTGTTAAAAATTGTAGTTAAATTGTTAAAACAAAATATTATTTGTGAGGTCATCTAAAAACCTTAAAATTGCACGCCTTCCTGGTCGATATATATATATGTCGGATATATATGTGAACTTTTTTGTTCCGGACAATTTGTCTTTTTGAAAATCTTAACTTAACTATAAAGAAACTTAAAAAAAAAACTTATCGTAAAAGGAGTAAATAAATCTTTGAAAAAAAAAATTAACGAAAAATAAAATAAAAATGATTTAACTAAAACTAAAATAAAAAAAATAAAATTAAAACTTATTTAAAATAAATAGCAAACAATAAGATTATTTTAGATTATTTAGATTATTAAGATCAATAAAATTGTTTATCTTTACTAATGTTTTTATAATATAATATTATGCAAAGCTCTTTTTAAATAAAGTAACAAATTACATCTAACAATTGCTTTGCAGTAAAAATAAAAGATTCTTGACAATTCTTCGCCGTAACGTAAACAAAAGAAAAAATAATTAAGTCGTTTTTTTTAAAAGTTAAAATTTTTTATTTATTTAAAGACATTTAAAATAAAAAATGCATACTTTTATAAATATAAAAAAATATAAATATTATTCATTAATATTTATATAATAAATAATTAGCAGTGATTTGTTACTTTATTTAAATGTAGTTCAATAATATAAAAACATGCTTTCAAACAAGTTTTTTTTTTTTCCCTTCTCAAACAATATCTTTCTACTTTTTGAGCGAATTAATTTTAATGATTCTTATATAAAGTTTATTAAAGAGACCATCACTGTTTAAAGTCTTTGCTTATAAAATTAAAAATATTTTTTACAATTTTTTTTTTTTAATTTAATTAAATAATATAAATAAAAATTTATACAACTTTCAATGATACTTTAATTAAAATCATTAGCTACTTTATTTAAAAGCATTTTGCTAATATAAAAATGTTAGTAAAGATATGTCGATGTTATTTATTTTTAACATAATTAAAAACCTTTTTTTTAGAGCATTTGTTAAAAATTGTAGTTAAATTGTTAAAACAAAATATTATTTGTGTGGTCATCTAAAAACCTTAAAATTGCACGCCTTCCTGGTCGATATATATATGTCGGATATATATGTGAACTATTTTGTTCCGGACAATTTGTCTTATAAATACTTAAGTTCATGACATGTTCAATAAAAATTAAAGAAATGTGATCAAACGCCATTCCTCACCACGCATAAAATATATTGTTTTTACAACTTGACAACACAATTTGTTTTGACAACTCTAAGCGTTTTAAAAAATGCACTGAAAATAAAAATATAATTCATACGGTAACTTATCTAATAAAAAGAAAATCTTAAAGAAAAAGAAAAAATCTAAAATTTGAAAAAGAAAATATATTTATATTACATTTTTTTTAAATTACTATACTAAGCGAAATGCTTTTTAAGTCATTAAATACTTAAATTATTATGTAAATATATTAAATACATAAATTATGTAATTATTAAATGCATAATTAAATGTATAATAAAAATGCAAAATTATTAAATACATTATTTACTATGCAAATATATTAAATTAAGTTTACTTATTACTTTATTAAATAGAGTAACAAATTGATCATAATGTTTACAATAAACACATTTTATTTAAATTATCAAATAATATACGTAATTACCTTAATATAAATTTAAATTAATAATTAATTGCAATTTTAATGTAAATGATAAAAACAGGGCTACTTAATTTTAAAAAATGTAATGCTTTAGCGTCTTTTAAAAAGTGAATTGACTCAAAAAATGACATATTTTATTAATGTAATTGTTCAACTTCAATTTTTGTTTTGTGTAAAAAATATAAAGTTCAAAAAATAAAGTTTATATACAATACTGAATTTATTAATAATTTCGGAACAATTAAAATGATTAAAAAATAAATGCGCATAAAATATGGGTTGGACAAAATGACCGATAGATGTTGTTTTTTTACCAGACAAGTGCTAGACCGATGTCTGATGTCTGGCACTTATATCAAGCCCTGTATATATATTTGTGTATATTTATAAGTGTATATATATATATATATATATATATATATATATATATATATATATATATATATATATAAATATATATATATGTACATATATATATATATATATATATATATATATATATATATATATATATATATATATATATATATATATATATATATATTAACCCTCAGAAATAGGAAAAATGAGGTCGGCGATTTTTTGCTGCTAAAATGTAGTGCCTCTACATTGACTATCTTATAGCCTGACTCGCAATGGAGTGCTGCTACATCAACTGAGGGTTTGGTTAGAGCAGGCAGTCTGAAATTTAAGAAGAAAAAAAATTATTTAAGTTTTTCTGGTTTATAAGCGCTCTCATTAAAGCTACAGTTTATGGAAGAAACTTTTCGAATACCATGCAAGACTATATATATATATGTGTATATATATATATATATATATATATATATATATATATATATATATATATATATATATATATATATAATATATATATATATATATATATATATATATATATATATATATATATATATATATAAGCAACATTAATTTTAAATGAAATACTACACTAAAAATGTTAACAAATACTAATGAAAAAAAGGTCTGGTTGAACTTTTTTTTATTAGTATTTCTAACTCTGTTATATGTATTTTTTGGGTTTTATCCATATTTAGTCCAATAAATATTTTTACATATAAGTTTTTATTTTTATTTTTATATTCTCTGAATTCCAGAAATTCACCTTGCTAAAAGTTTGCCTTGAATCTGTTGATTCAAGGCAAGCTTTCAGCAAGGTGAATTTCCGGAATTCAGTTTACACACTTAATAAATTTGCTTTAAACATAATAAAATTTGCAATCTTTTAAGTCGTCTGTCAATCGTTATCTTGCTTTACAATTTTCATCTTTTCATTAACTTCCAACTCTAATAGTGGTTGTTTTCAGCTTTGTTAGAAGCGAAGATGTTAAAAAAAAAAAAAATCCTTTATTAAAATATCTTTCTGCGATCAACCCAATATCTCAAGGCCATGAAGTTACAGAGAATGCTAAAAAAACTCTCCCAATGTAGATATAAATAAAGTATTTAATTAAGAACTTATGCAGCCTCAGATAGATACTTTAGTACTTCCACCCGTATTTGCTGATAAGAAACTCGTACATTTTGACTGGTGGATAGAAGTTATTAGGTGTAAAAAATATTTAGAGCTATTTAAATAAATATTTAAATATTTGGTAAAATTATTAATGCCTAAGTATATTGCTCATGTTGAGCAATAATCGTGCAAAAAAGTGCAGAAAAAGAAAAGCCTATTAATTTATTTTTTAAACATTTTATGTTTAAAAAGTAAATATTACTTACATTAAAAAGTAAATAAATTATCACGATTTGCAGGTAAAACTGAGATGGCTTATTTGATTTTGAGAATTTTAGAGAATTATTTAGTAGTTTTTAGTTATTTTATTTATCCCTTTACCAACTGTCCAGATTTTGTTCCAAAAAACCTTTTTCAATTTGTTGAAATTTTTTCCAGAAATTTCTGATATTTTTCTTAAAAATAAGTTTCCGGGATTTTTATTTTATAAAATTTCTGGGATTTTCATAAAATTAAAAAACTCATCTATGATATTTATGATATCTTTTTTAATATTTTTATATATTTATAATATCTTTTTTAATATTTTTATATATTTATAATATCTTTTTTAATATTTTTATATATTTATAGTATCTTTTTTAATATTTTTATATATTTGTAATATCTTTTTTAATATTTTTATATATTTATAATATCTTTTTTAATATTTTTATATATTTATAATATCTTTTTTAATATTTTTATATATTTATAATATCTTTTTTAATATTTTTATATATTTATAATATCTTTTTTAATATTTTTATATATTTATAATATCTTATATAAATAGGAGTGGCAATCAGCAGAAGTTTTATCACCATCTGGAGTAGTTAAAAAGATTAGACGACGCATTTTGCCATTAACATTAAAAAAAAAAGTTTTCTTAATTCGACCTAATGGTAATAAAGAAGAGGTTTGTGATGATTCAGTGGAGCAAGATAGTGAGTGGGAAGAAATCATGGAAAGTGACCCTGCACCATCACATTTGAATCCAAATGTAGGTTATTGTTTTTAGTTTATATTTTAAATTAAGTTTTTTAAGCATTTTTTCTTTATTTAAGAGTAAACTGGGGTAAGAGTAAATGGTTTAGCTTCATTTGAAACTTTTATAGAAAATTTTTTACATTATATAAAAATATATAAATTGAGAAAAAATATTAAAATTTAAAAAAAAAAAAAATCAATTTTTATGAAGAAAAAAACATTTACTTTTCCCCTTATAATTAGGGAAAAGTAAACCAGTTCAATTTTTATAACAATTGATTAAGATATTTAGAATATCAAAACTATTAAGAAAATCAATCAAAATTAATTAAAAATAAAATAAAAATTAATCTTATTAGAAGTTAAGTTTACAAAAAAACTATTTTAATCAAATATACAAAAAAAACTATTTATTAATTAAATAAATTTGAGTTGTTTCATTGTCAGAAGCAGGTTCGCTGCATTTTTTCACGTAAAAAAACTCTTTACCAATTTTTTTTTTTTTTTTGGATAAACATGATTGACAAACCCAAAACTTGCAACTAAAAGCTTCACATTGGTACCACATTTTGATGTCTTGATGTCTTTGTCTTGTCTCGGTTTTTTTGAATGTTGCTCAATTTCATTTGAAGCTTCACTGAAGTGAATCTTGCGTTTCTTTAATTATTTTGAATTTTTGGTCTTATCGTCTTGCTTTAGTTTCTCTAGCACCTCAGATGCGCTTAGACACTGTCTGTCAACTCTCGCAATCTTGACTCTTGGGTTTTTTTTGTGTTAATATAGTGACGCTGTAAAACATGTTGACGAATCGTTGGAGTTTGCTGACTGATTTTAGATGATGATTTTGGCTGAGAAGTGGATGATGAAGCAGGCAGGAATCCAATTTTGTCTGTCAACTCTCGCAATCTTGACTCTTGGGTTTTTTTTGTGTTAATATAGTGACGCTGTAAAACATGTTGACGAATCGTTGGAGTTTGCTGACTGATTTTAGATGATGATTTTGGCTGAGAAGTGGATGATGAAGCAGGCAGGAATCCAATTTTGTCAAAGTTCCACAAATTGCACTAAGTGTTGTTGTTGATATTTGCTTCAAGAAATTGTTTTTGAAGTGTATTGAAATAACTTGTTATTTTGTCTTCAGTACAAGAAGAAGCTCTGAGAGACAAATTATTGCTTTGCTACTCTGATGCTTAAACTATGACTTCCTCCCCAAACAACCTAGCCAGCATCTAGTCCTAAAAAGAAAACTTTTGAACATTCAAAAAACATACCGGAAAGGTTGTAAAAAAAAATAAGTGAACAAATCAGGCTCAATGATCAGTAATAGAGAAATAGTAAGATTAAAATTTTCTGAGAATTGCATCAGATATGTTCTGAAGACATTTTAAACTACAGGTGGCATCCAATGTCATGCAGATCTACAAGGTTAAAAAAAACTTAAAAGGTTAAAAAAATCTGTAAATAATCTTATATTTTGTCAAGTAAGAACCAATTCTAGGTTAGGTTTTTGTGAATTTAGGTTTTTAATTTTGATGGAGTAGGAGTGTGTAATATTTATATATGTCATATCAACCAACATACATTTATAGAAATACTAGAGAACTGCATGGTTCCATCAGTGGACATGCTGATTGATTGAAGTGAATGGTGGTAATTTCAACAAGATTTTGCACCTGTCCACACAGCACAAGCTTTCCCAGAAAAGGAGTGCGGTTTTTTGTCTTGTATGACCACGCGTGAGTATTTTCTTTTAGACAACTTGGTCACGGCCGTTTGCAAGTTTTTTTATATGCGTTGCTGACAAAAGTTTTAAAAACAAAATAACAAAATAAGAATTTAAAGTACACTTAAATAGAAAATAATAGTAAAAATAATTTAAATAATTGGTGTACTAATTTTATTTTTGTTTCTTCAAAGCAAAAAAAAAAATGTTTTAAACATTAAAAATAATGATTTTCCTATATTTTGTTTTTTTTAAAGGGGAAAGCGAAAATATAAATTGTCATCTGTTTGTAAAATATATTTGTATAATTTTAATGTAACAAGTATATATCAAGGGGTGAATCAAGCGATCGCGATTTGCAAACCCTGGAAAAATATCTGATCTTCAAAATTTTAGTTTATGCAAAGCTGTGTACTTTGTTTTCAAGGAGCAAATTTTTATAATTTTGTTAGCGAGAAAAATAAAAAAACAAAACAAACAATAAACTTACGACTACAAAAGTAATAATACTCTTGTCACTAACTGCATTATAAAAGTAATAAAACTATAATAGTGTTATTACTTTTATAAAGCACTTATAACTTTTAAAGTTAATTCTTTCTTCAAACAACATTATTAATTCCAAAGAATAATTAAAGTAGAAAAGTATCTAGAAAAAATAAAGCGGATATTCAAATATTAAAAGCTTGAGGAATTTTTACATCACTTAAACAACTTTAAAAAAATGCACTTAATAAAAAGTTAAGCATTATGAAAAACGTCACTAATAGTCCGTTTAAAGGCGCGTTTAATTCTAAAATCAACCAATAAAATTTTTTATTGGTGATTTGAAAATTAACGCGCATTTTTACGTATCATTCGTAACATTTTTAGTAATGCTAAACTTTTTATACGTTTTGATAAAGTTGCGTTTACATTTTTATAAGTTACTTAAGTTTTAAATATTATTTGGATATCCAATATATTTTTCTAGATGCTTTTCTACTTCAATTAAAATTTGGGAGAACTTATCTTATTTGAACAAAGAATGAATTATAAAAGTTATAAGTGCGTTATAAAAGTAATAACACTATTATAGTGTTATTACTTTTAGAATGCAGTTATTCGCTAGAGTGGTATTACTTTTGTATTTGTAAGTTTATTGTTTTATTTTTTATAACTTTTTTGCTAACATATTAAAGTTGATTGGCCCCTTCAAAACAAAGAACATGTTTTGTATAAACTAAAATTTTGAAGACCAGATATTTTTCCAGATTTTGCATTTTGTGATTGCTTAATTCAACTCTTGTTGTTATATAAATATATTTTACAAATACATTGCAATTTATATTTTCGCTTTCCTCTTTAAAAAAAGTTAAATAAAGGAAAATCATTCTTATTATTGTAGACTTATAACTTCTTTTTTTTACTTCGCCTTATCTAATTTTGTTGCTAAATGTAACAACCACTCTAATGTAACAAAAATAAAAACAGTACATAAATTATTTAAATTATTAATTTATTTTTATTTCCTATTTTGTTAGTTTTGCTTTTTTTGTTTTAAAAACTTTTTCTGCCATGAATATTATAAAACTTGCAAACGGTCTTGATCAAATTGTTTAAAATAAAATACTCTTACGTGGTCATACAAGACGAAAAACCGCACTCCTTTCCTGGGAAGGCTTGCAGCATGTACAATAAAAACATGGATGAAAGAAAATAAAGTAAATTTATTGCCCTGGCCAGCTTGATCACCAGTTTAGAATCCAATTATATCTATTTGGGCTTATATAAATAAAGAATTAGTCAAGGTACAAATAGGATCCAGAAATAGCCTAAAAAAAGAAAGAATTAGATTTGAAAAAAAAAAAGAATTAGTATTTTGAAAAAGAGTTCCAAACGAAATCTGCAACAATCTTGTGAAATCGATGCCAAAAAGTTGTGCTGCCTGCAAAAAAAGCTTGTGGGGGATATTTTAATTGTTATTTTTGTTGCTTTATTTTTTTATATATTGCAGTTATTTCTATTAGTATTTTTTGTTATTATTCTAGATAATGTTTTCATACAATTTTATGTTTTAGTATGCCATCCAAGATTTGTTAAAAAATGATTTTTCTTGCAAATAAATAAAAAAGTTGTTTGATATCTTTTTTATTTTTTATTTTATGGTAGTTTAAATATGCTTTAAGCAAAATATTTTATATTATATATTTATATATATATATATATATATATATATATATATATATATATATATATATATATATATATATATATATATATATATATTGTATATATATATTGTATATATATATATATATATATATATATATATATATATATATATATATATATATATATATATATATATATATATATATATATATATATATATTCTTATATAAATGTTTTTTAAAAAATTAAAGAGTTTAAAGTTTAATAAAACACTATTTTTATTTCTTAATTTAGAACTAAGTTAAAGACAATTTTTTGTCTTTAAAGGGATTCCAAACCTCTGAGACATTTTTTGTTCATATTAATTGTAAAAAAAAATGTTTTGAATTTTAGAAAAAAAAATTAGAAATTAAAAATTTTGAAAAATTTTAAAAAAAATTTTTTAAAATTTTTAATTTCTAATTTTTTAAGTTTGATTTTAAATTCTAGTTTTTTTTAAAATTAAATTTTCAATTCTAAATTTGATTAAAACAAAATTATTTTAGTCAAAGTTTTCTTCTCTAATTTATTATAGGCCAAAAAGTCAGCAAATATACGCTGCAATCTACAGAGTTGATAATTTATTTAAGCGAGTTTTATTCCTAAGAGTTTTAGTAAATAACGTCATTGATTTTTTTGTTTTGTTTACATAATCCATCTTTTGCAAAAATTGTCTTGGGATCCCTAATATAGTTCAGATATTCTTAAAATTTTCTTTGATTTTTTTAATTATTTATTCTAGGAATGGCAATTTGAGGATAGACTACAACCTGACGGATCAATAAAAAGGTTTAAATGTAGAATTAAAGTAACTAGTGAGAAAAAAGTACCTGAAATCAAGTCCCGGGAAGTGCCTAACACTTCTGTCACATATGCACCCCAAAAACAACCATTCCAAAAAAATGATGCTGATAAAAACTCAGAAGAAGATCCAAAGGTAATAAATTATTTAATTGTTGTATATGTATGTGTTTACACACATGTATATATATATATATATGTATATATATATATATATATACATTTATATACACATGCACATACATATATATATATAGATAGATATAGATATATATTAGGCGGTAGTGGTGTAGTGGTAGAGCGCTTGCTTCATAAACAAGAGGTTCCAAGTTCGATCCCCACCACATTCCTGGTAGCACTGCACTTAACTTGTTTCTCCGCGCAGCGGCCTTATTTGTCAAGGGTGTGTTTTGGAGTTATAGAGTCGAGTGAGGGTTATAATCACATTTAAGTAGCCTCCTCGTCTTATTAACATAAAAAAAATACACACACACACATATATATATATATATATATATATATATATATATATATATATATATATATATATATATATATATATATATATATATATATATATATATATATATATATATATACATATATATTTAATTATGTTTCATTTTATCTTTTTTAATTTATACTATTTAGCAGTGGGAAGTAATTCAAAGCCTAGGACATGGGAGTGTTAATATACGAGTTCGTCAGCGTCCAGTAGTTAGTGTTTCAAGTTATATAAATAATGATGATTCTGAAAGTGATGTGAATGAAAGCATGGATGATATTTTAAGCCAAATGAAGTATGTTTACATCTTATATGTCATTGTCATTTGTTTACTGACTTTTATTATTATTTTATATTTTAATTGCCTCATTTTTTTGATTGTACTTTTTTTTTTCAATATTTTATTTGTCTTAATTGTTAGTTTTTAAATAGCTTTTTTAGGATTGAATTTGTTTTTTTTCAAATAACACAAAAAAACTGTTCTTTCTGTTATTTGTTCTTTGACTTATTTATTACTTGATTTGTTTGTATTACTAGGTTATCTTGGTTGAAAAAAAAAATCTATGATTTTAGTTTTCAATATTTTGAAATAATTGATTAAATATTTTAACAACTATATTAAAAAAATATTATTATAAATAAATACTAATATGTACATTCTCTGACTTAAAATAGCTGGCTGGGCTAACTTGTGTTATGTTAACTTGTGTTATACATTGTGTCCTGTCTAATATATTGAATGCTGGGTCTTCTTGACTCTACTTGTGAGTTTTGCTTGTGTCTTCTTGGTTGTGGGTATGCAACTCTTTCTGTTATCTTTTGATTAGGACACAGCTTTTAAAATGGTTTTGAGGTTTATCTTACTCTTGGTTCTTTACCTATATAAATTTCTTATTTGTCTTTGTATAGAATTCTATTTCCATATTTTAGATGGTTCTTTTAATAAGTTCTTCTTTTTTTAAAAGGTACAAAAAAGTACAAAAAAGTTTTGTTAACTTTTTTTTCAGACTATAGTTTTATATGCTCTGGCTCCACATATATGTATTACAGTGTCAAAAAATGTTGTGTGGACTTGAGATTGGGCTCATTGATTGTTTTATGTTTTAATATATAGCTTAAGCTGACTATAATTGCATCTTTTTTTTAGCGATTTATCAAAAAGTCTTGCAGAGGATGATACAAAAGCAGAGAGTGATTTTAATTCTTCTATTACCATAAGTATAAATAAAAAAGAACATTTTGATAAAAAAAATGAATTACTTGATAAAGAAAAAATAAACTTAGAAGAGGGACAAAAAATAAACTTAGAAGAGAGGCAAAAAACTGAAGATAAGGATCAAGATTGGAAAGAAAACCAAAGAGCTAAAGTCAAAGAAGAGGAGATGCGTGAAGCAAACAAAGTAGAATTGTCATCTCTTTTTAATCTTCCAGATATCGATGATGAATCATTCAATGATTCTTATAAAAATGGTAGACTTATTTTTTATTTGTTGAAATTTATTATTTATATATATATTAATTTATTATTTTAATGAATACATTTTTTTTTTTTTTTTTTGCACTTGATATTTCTGAAATTTATTTAGCTTACTTTTTGTATTACTATATTTCATTATATTTATTTAGCTTACTTTTTGTATTACTATATTTCATTATATTTATTTAGCTTACTTTTTGTATTACTATATTTCATTATATTTATTTAGCTTACTTTTTGTATTACTATATTTCATTATATTTATTTAGCTTTCTTTTTGTATTACTATATTTCATTATATTTATTTAGCTTACTTTTTGTATTACTATATTTCATTATATTTATTTAGTTTACTTTTTGTATTACTATATTTCATTATATTTATTTAGCTTACTTTTTGTATTACTATATTTCATTATATTTATTTAGCTAACTTTTTGTATTACTATATTTCATTATGTTTATGAAATTTTATATATTTGATTGTTATGTTTATATTTGATTTATTTCTTTATTGAATTGTATTAACTATATTTATTTTTTATTTCATTTTGTTTATTTTATTGAATTTATCATTATACTGATCAATGAATATTTTTTCCATTACTTGATTTTTAAGACAGGTATAATGATGCTGATGAAGTTTCAAAAGACTTTTCAAATAATACAAAAGTGATTTTCTCTATAAATATGAGTAAATTGGAAAATAAAACACATAGAAATTCTTACGTGAGTTTTTATTTTTATTTGTTATGTTAGTTTTATTTTTAATTTTAAAAAATAATTTGTGCCTTATAGTTATGTTTTGAGTTCTATAAATATGTATATATATATATATATATATATATATATATATATTTTTAATAGAAATCTGACAGTTTTTTGTTGGATAGAAAACATTCTTCATTAGAATCAGATGTCTCTTCAGTAGATGAACCAGAAGCAAGGTTTAAAATATTTTTTGTTTGAAAATTTATATACGAATATCTTTGCGGACTTTGCTGTGCATGAAAAGTTACATATGCTATTATATTAAAATAACTTTTAGTGGGAACTTTAGTACACCTGCTGAGGTTTTTTGCACATATGAAGGATATTTGTGACAAAAAAAATTTCCTTTTTTTCTTCTCATCGTTCTTCTTTTTGTCTAAAAAACTGTGTAGATTAAAACTGTCAGCATTTTTGCAAACTGTAGATTATAGTCAGCATTTTAAAAATTAAAATGTGCAAACTTTTTTATTTTAAACTTTTATGAATAAAGTAAAGTTTAAAATTTGTATCTAATCATTAAGTTTTGGTTCAACCAATAAGTAAAAGGTATTTTTAAAGGTCACTTATAAGACAAAAAAAAAACATATAGTAATGGGGCTTAATCAAGCCAAAGTATATATTCATCACTGAGATGTTCCTAAATGTATTGGCCCAACACTTGTTGAGCCATCCAAACAAAAACATTGTGCTCCAGTTTTACTGTCCTAATGCTATCATAAGGTATCAAAGTATGATCAGTTAAAAAATACAATCATTACCAGTTAGGAGCAAATTGCTTATTGTTTATAACGGCTCAATTTTCACACACATTTTTATAATTTTATAAAAACACTTTAATTTTAGGTTAAAGTTTTTTTTATTTAAAATTTTGATTAGTTTTTCTTTTCTTTTTCTTTTTTTTTTCTTTAAATCTATCTATAAGATTAATTTCTCAAAAAAGGAATGTTATACTTAAAGATATTACAAAGAACCTTTGATTAAAGAAATTAAATAATGTTTATTTTTTGGCCAACAATTTTCGTTTAGGTTACATAAAATAAATTTTTTTTTTTATATTTTATTATATACACCTTGTTAATGTAACTTTCAGATATGTTGTAACACGTCAAGATCAAGCAGATTATCGACAACCATTAGAAAGTGGACCTCATACAGAAATACTTTACACAGTAACAGATGTTTCTAATGTTGAGCAAGGCAAAGGTGGTTTTGTAAAAGCAGTAAGAGGTGATATCAAGTTTTTTAAAATATTTTAAAGACTTTAATAAATATGGGATCAAATCTTAAAGGAAATAAATCTTTCTATGAAAGCTCTCTATGAAAAACTAATGCTTATAAAATATTTTTTAATCGAAAAATTATCATTGAATCAGTAGAATGTCTATTACATAAAAAATGGACAAACTCCCAAAAAAAAATTAGCAAAGAAAGGCTAATATTGTTCTTATAGTTTTAAATATAAATTGAAATTATTTTGTTTTAAAGCATTTTTATAATTTTTTATTTAATAACATTTTTTTTTCATTTATCCACTTTATAAGTTGTATTAACATATCATATTTTACATTATCTTGTTTATATTATTTTTTGTTAGTTGATTTATATCTTTCATTTTCACGGTGAGTACAAATATCAAAATGACTAATAATTTTATAAAGCTCGCTGATTTTCCATATACAAACTCGGCAAATCAGTGCGCTTTATAAAATTATGCATTATAAATTATTTGAGAAAATGCGATTTTAAACATGCTCAATTGAAATTAAAAGCTTATTATGTGAAAATAGCAAAATCAGACGACGAATTCCAATCAGACGACGAATTCCAATCAGACGACGAATAATCATTCCAATCAGATTAAGATCTTATTAAGTAATTCACAATTATTGTTTTATTATTTTTTTTCATATTCCCATGGTGAATATAAATCTTTTTTTGTGGGATAAGCAGAAAGGATGTAGACATTTGTACCCTGTGGAATAATTATTCTGTTCTTGATAAGTAATTAAATATGGAGTTGTCTGATACAGATTTGAAGAACAAAAAAAGATGTTGTTACGAAGTTGTGCTGTTTTTTTTTTTCAACTTATTTTATTAAATGCACTTCTTTTAAGAGTGTTTGTAGCAAGAAATAAACCATCAAAAACATGGATAAAGTAATTTTTTCTCTACTACAGTCTTTATTACTTTTGATGGGCTCTAATCTGGGCATCTAATCTAGGCATTTCTAAATTCTAATTAGATAAATCTGGGCATCTAATCTGGCCGACAGTCAACTTTCAGCATTAAGTTTAATTTCTTTAATCAATTAATACCACTTTTGGTAATAATGTCAAACTTTTTTAGTGTCAGCAGTTTCCGAAAATTAAGTCTATAATCCAAATGTTATCAGCAGTAAATGGTTTTCTGATCTGATGGCTAGTTGATCGAAACTTTACACGCTTTATTATCTTGGTTTAAAAACAAGCTTTATTATCTTGGTTTAAAAAACACTTTATTTATTCTTGGCAACTCTTCCAGGTTATTGTAGCAGCAGAAAAAAGCTTGTTAAAATGTTTTTCTATAGGGTATCAAAAAGATATTTTATTATTGTCCATCATCAAACTGTTAATTTGATTAAAAAAATGTTTCAGAATTTATTGGAAATTATAAATGAAATGCGCCGAATTATTTGAGAAAATTAGACTCTGGCGACTACTTTTCATAGACACTGACGACTTTTTCCATCAGACACTTGCGATACTTTTCATCAGACACTAGCGATACTTTTCATCAGACACTGGCGATACTTTTTATCAGACACTGGCAATACTTTTTATCAGACACTGGCAATACTTTTTATCAGACACTGGCTATACTTTTTATCAGACACTGGCTATACTTTTTATCAGACACTGGTAAATCTTTTCATCAGACAATACTTTTTAAAACAATTTGTTAGTTATTGTCTTAAATTCAGCGTTAAGTCCAACAAAGAAACTCATTGTATTGTTTAGAATTACATTTTAGAGTTTGAATGTTGAAAGTTACACTGCCAGTTTACACTGTTATATATATATATATATATATATATATATATATATATATATATATATATATATATATATATATATATATATATATATATATATATATATACACATATATATATACACATATATATATATATATATATATATATATATATATATATATATATACATATATATATATATATATAACTATATATATATATATATATATATATATATATATATATACATATATATATATATATAACTATATATATATATATATATATATATATATATATATATATATATATATATATATATATATATATATATATATATATATATATATATATATATATATATATATATATATATATATATATATATATATATATATATATATATATATATATATATATATATTGCTTATCATTATAGCATAAAGTGATTTCACAAAAAGAAGAAAAAAACAAAGAATAATGAAAAAAAAATATTGCTGCTCCATCCCAAACCCTCAGTAAATGTAGCAGCACTCCACTGCGAGTCAAGCTATTTGTCAATTGATGTATGTATTGAAGCCCCCAGCAGCAGGCTATTTCAGTGTGACGTCAGAGTGCTCATCTAAATTAGCTATTTAGGTTATATATATATATATATATATATATATATATATATATATATATATATATATATATATATATATATATATATATATGTATATATAGTAAAAACTTAATAATTAGTTAGATATTTAAATACATAACTTAAAGTTTTATGCAAAAATTAGAAATTTATTTTCATTGCGGCACTTTGATGTAAGCTAATTTTGTTTGTTAAGTAAATTTAGTTGGGATAAATGATGTGGTATTTTTCCATCAAGCATAAGTTGAAAATTTTACCACCAGGTTTGAATGACTCTGCTTGATTAAGAGACTCTAAACCCTTGTTTTTGCATTCCCATACAAATTTCAAAAGTTCAGTAGAGTTGGATTTACTTTCATAAAGAAAAAGTTTATATGTTTATACCACCTCTCTTTAAAAATTTTCTTGGTAAGCCTAATGTAATAATATACTTTTTTCTTTTGAGTTTCTATATTGCAAATGTAGTAAAGGTGGTTTGTTGGCAATTACATTATTGGTTAATATACTTGTGAGTATTAGTACATTTTTATTATTAAAAGTTATAATATTCTTGATGTTTGGAAGGAAGCTATAACTAACCTATAAGTTGTTCAGGTTAAAAAGTTTGTGAAATCGGTGACCGTTAAGGAAGTATTTATCAAAAACCAGATAATATTTCATATTCAAGATATTGTATTTTTTTTTGGAGATATTTGGAATGAAATCAGTCTTATCTTTAAATCAGCAAGAATTGGAAATTATTATAAAATGATGCAGCTCTATCAAAAGAATTGAAAATATATTACTAATATAATTAGAAATCATTTTTGGTATCAATTAAATGATTATTGTGGATAATTGGAATTGATGTTAATATATAAAAGATTATCACCTAGCTTTCTATAAGGTTTAAAAGAGTTCTCAGAAAGATTAAATGTGATGTCAAAAAAATTTTAGTCTTTCAATTTGGTCAATATTAAATCAATATTAAAATTGTCTTTAAAAATTTTGATTTTTCTTTTTTCTTTTTCTTTTCTTTTTTTTCTTTTTTTTTTTTTTTGCCAATTGGGGAAAATTGGGATTAGGGACCACTGATATTATTGAAGCAACAAAGACAATCATCTCTTTATGGATTGGTAGTATTTAGTCCTTTGTAAATAGATTATAAGATAAAAAGATCATTTATTTTGCATAACTTGGCTACGTCCAAACTACCCATGGTGACATCAAAGTTAGAGCTGCTTATTTTTTAATTCACATGTTTCCTGAAAATGTAAAGGTTTCCTAATGTGGTAAATAATTTTGATTGATTTATTAGGAGTTTTGGTGAATTTTTTGCATGCTTTAAAGAATCTTGAAGAACTTGTTTCAAAATCTTAGGGTAAAACTCGTCAATATTGTATTGAATGAAAGTACATTTATTTTTTCCAGATGTGGTAGTGGTGTAGTGGTAGAGTGCTTGCCTCATAAGTGAGAAGTTCCGAGTTTGATCCCCACCACAACCCTGGTAGTACTGCACTCAACTTGTTTCTCTGTGCAGCGGCCTTGTTTGTCAAGGTTCGTGTTTCGGAGTTATAGAGTTTAGAGAGTGTTGTAACTACAAAAAGTAGCCTCCTTGGCTGTAGTGGTCTTCTCAGCCTTGAGGAAGTGAATAATTAAAAAAAAAAAAAAAAGATATTGATTTGAACCATTTTATGATATCACTTGTGTTATGGCGTATAGTTATCATGGCAATTTAGTTAATCATCTATGTACAAACAACAAACAACTTATAATGTTTCTTAATAAACATTTTTTTAAACATAAATTTTTATATTTTAAGTCAATTTAATTGATAAGCACAATTGAAACGATTGTCTTCTCAAATAACATTGTTTGTATTTTTAAGGCTTTTCTTTGAAAAGGCCTATATAGTCTCTATATATAATCTATATAAACCAAATTGTCCTCAATTTTCTAATATAATAATCTATATATAATCTATATAAGCCAAATTGCCCTCAATTTTGTATTGGAAATTGCCTGAAATTATATCGCATGGACACACTATTAATTCTAAAGTGGCGCTTACAATTTTGCAAACCTCAGAAGATATAAGTGCATGATAGCCAAACATGGGTTTACTGAACTAATTAGTAACCTGTTATGTGTTTGACTATTTTTTAGCCTGGCACACAATAAACAGATGCTCACCAATATTTTTTTTTGCAGAGAGCTGATTTTGATGGAAATCTTTAATAATAGCACAATAACTTAAGTGATGTACCGTTAAATGTATAGTGTCAAGATGAAATATTTATTGAGTAGGTCACTTCTAATAGGATTTTTTTTTAATGAGCAAGTCACTTCTAATAGGATTTTTTTTAGAATTTAATAAGTAGTTTAAATAGGATATATATTTTAAATTTATATATATATATATATATATATATATATATATATATATATATATATATATATATATATATATATATATATTATATATATATATATATATATATAAACATAAGTATATATAGAATGTTCCCATGGGTCATGTGACTCAAGAAACATTGCCATTATGAGAGGATAAAACTGTAAACATAACCGATATAATAAAAAATATACCATTAGGATTTTTAAATAAATTTTTAAGGTAGCGTTCTATTGCACATAAAATATATTAATTATAATATATAATAGGTGTTATAAATTATGTATCGAAACTAACTATAAAAAAAAACAACCAGAAAATTAGATTTTTTAAACTTCCTGATTTTGTAAAATGACAAAGAGTCTTGTTTTTTTTTTGCTAATTGTAAAATGCTAATTGTAAAATGTATTGTAAAATTGTAAAAAAATTTTGCTAATTGTAAAATGCTAATTGTAAAATGACAAAGAGTCTTGTTTTTTTTTTGATACCAGTTGATTTTTTATTTACTAAAGATGTAGAATCTCATACAACATTAGATAAAATTGTTCATTCAGTATGTGCTTTAGTTAACTTTACTAGCATTTAATTAGCAAATAATTTGAACAGTAATTCAAAAATAGTATGCCATTAAACTATACAAATGTTTACCAGGTTAATTGAACAAAATATTTTTATACAATTTTATTTATATATCTAAATCTTTTTTTTTTTTTTAATATATATTAAATAACTTTTTCTCGCTCTCTATTCAACATTTTTATTCAATAGTTAATGATTTTTTTTTTTTCTCAGCATGCTTTTTTTTACTTTTAGAATGTTTGTTTAAATGTATAATATCCTTGTAGGTATATGTTTTTTTGTCCCAAAACCATTTACCTTTAGCAATTTTTAATTTTATAATGTATAATGGTACATCTTACAATCATATCGCCATCTTTTGAACTGATGCAACAGTAACAAATTAGATCCCGAAATGATAAAACATTACTTTCAATGTGTTTAGGTTCAATAGTTTCAAAAGTAATTTTTTAAGGATAAGGATGCTTTTTTTAAATTCTTTTGGTATGTTAAGATTTCTTCACAATAGATTATATAAATTAAAAAGTCCTTTACTGTCCATACAAAAAAATTGCTGCATTAATAACCAGTAACACAAAGTTTGTACTTGGTAGTAATATCCTTGGTCTTTTTTAAGTGATAATTGTTTTTTCCTAATTAACGATAACAAGTTTTTTCAATTTCAATCATATCTTGTAATGGTTTTTTTATAACAGTTTAGAAATTTAATTTCTAAGCATATTTTTTTTATAATTTGATAAGTCAGTGTAAGTTACAGCTGGAAAGGTTTCTTCATTGTTTTTGAATTCGTTATCTGGAATTGAGCAAGTGTCTCTGCCTTTTTATCTCTCTCTCTCTCTCTCTATTTATATATATATATATATATATATATATATATATATATATATATATATATATATATATGTGTGTGTATATATATATATATATATATATATATATATATATATATATATATATATATATATTTATATATATATATTCATGTCACAGGGTAGAATCATCTCCCTCCACTAGGAGTGTGACATTGTTAATGGACATTATATTCTAGCTCTAGCTGATAACTTCTGCTCACATTGTTGTATAGCTAGAGTTGTAAAAAACTCCATATTAAGCCTGGGTTGGCTAAGCGTAAATGTTTTTAAAGTTAGTTGGATATACTATTCTTGACAGACTCCAAAATGTGTCTGTGCATGGTGTAAGGCATGGTCTATTAACATGATACCTTATGTGAACACATAGGCATTGTGTTAATGGAAACCTTTATTATTTACACCTCTTTTTTCACTTGTGAAACACAAATCTTGATTGTCTAGTTTGCCTAACTCATAAATATTTGCAGTAATATTTATGTGGTGTCTATGGTAGGTTTGTTTTTGAGAACTGTCTTATGTGTTAAATTTTGTATGACTGTTAATTATATATTTACAGGCTCTGAAAAATAAATACTTCTATCTCTGATAAAATAATTTTTAAATTAGTGACCTATTTTTTATTACAGAAAAACATGAAAACATTGCATCTGTAGAAAAAAAATCCTATCGGTTGTCGCTTACTAACAAAGATTTGGCAAAAGTCCATCATAGTGATTTACCGAAAGGTCATGTACCAACAAAAACTATGAGCTTCAAAGAAAATGCTGATACCGTTATTATCACTTATAATCCTCCTTCTGTTGATGTTAAAGCAACTATTGTTCGACCAGCTTCTTCTGAACTCCCTGATGAAGAAAATCTAATCATTAATAAAAAAGTAAGTATATTTTAAATAAACATCAACAAACAAGGTATCTTTGTTAAAAATATGTTTGAATATAGGTCTTGTTTTATTTTAAGAAAACTATATACATGTACAGGGTTTTTTTATTATATATATTACTAATTTCTTTATTATTTTTTCATAATCTTGTTTTATATATACAGTAACGTCCACAAATTTGGGAACAGGGTAAAAAAAATGAATTTTTATAATATTTCAGTACATACTTTACTAATGCCAACATATTATATACCAATTTAAAGGCTTTCATGTTTACTATTATGTTTTGAACGAATATTGATTAAAAAAATAAAAACAATTTTTGATGAGTTCCCATACAAAGCATTTATATTTTTTTTAAAAAAGGAATTTTTCAATGATATTTGATCAAAATTTATTAGAAGTGCAAAATCTCATTACTGTTTTGTAAATCTATAACTACAATCAACAACACAATGCTCTTACATATATCTTTGTATATTTCTTGATTAATAGTTTCATTTACTGAGCAGATTAACACTAGTCCTGACTAAAACATTCCAAAATCATTACATTACCTCATCCATGTTTTATGATAAGCTGTTGGGATTTAGTATCATATTTTGTACTTACTTGGCATCAAACAAACTTGATTCCATCTTATCTGAACTGCATAAACATGTTCTCATTACTAAAAAGAAACTTTACTAATATCTACTCCACTTTAGATGCAGTTCTTCTCGAGCGTTTCAAGGAAATCGATGGGTTTTAGACTAAATGTCTAAAACCCATTGATTTCGTCACACATTTGCATGACGTAAACAACTACTTTAAATCAATAACTGTCAAATGGGTTTTTTCATTGCTTTATATCATAAGGTTTTTATCCTGACATTTTGTTGTTTTGCATGATCTTTCTGATTGCTTTTGAATCTTTGTAGATCCAGTAAGTTTATAAGCTTATATCTCTTCATAAATTATATATCAGCTGACTTACTGGTTCCATAAAACTGTACTGTCTTACAAAATAAGTTTCCATTTGAACTGATCTCGCTATCAACATTTTCACTGAAGATATTTCACATTTCTTATACCCTGTGACCTTAATCACACATAAATGACACTTTTTAATCATTTCCACAATTTTGTATTTGTTTACAGTATCAATAAATTAGCATTTTTTTGTGTAAAATGTAAAAAGCTTTAGTATGTCCGCAAATTTAAAAAAAAGACAAAGTTAAAAAAACATGTATTCAAAATTAAATACAGAGGAGTTTAAAAATATATAAAAATTATAACTTTTTATAGTTGTTTTTATAGTTTTAAAACAAAATAAAAAATCTCTGTTTTTATAGTTTTAAAACAAAATAAAAAATCTCTGTGGTTTATTTTAAAATATATCTTATTTATTATTATTTTTATTATCAATTAATCAATTTCTAATTTAAAACATTTAAATTTTTGTTTTAGTTGTATATATATATATATATATATATATATATATATATATATATATATATATATATATATATATATATATATATATATATATATATATATATATATATATATATATAGACACGCCTAATATTAATATTGCCCTGAAAATCTTACTGAATCTTAAGGTGTATATAACTCAAATTTATATAAATTTTGAGATGTTATTGTCTTGCACTGGTACACTAATATACATTATATACAGTACATACATACATACATACATACATACATACATACATACATACATACATACATACATACATACATACATACATACATACATACATACATACATATATACATATATGCATAAATATTTAAATTACAAACATTTTAAACTAACTTTTAGGTTTCTGAAGAATCTTGTTTGCCAAATGATTTTATAGAATCATCAGACATTCCAGTTGTTGATACTCATTCTGTTGTTTTTATGGAACCTGCTGATGTTGATAGAAAGAGTAACCATTACTTTAAATTTTTTACTCAGCATAAATTCATTTATAAATCTATAAGAACTTTATTCAATATTTTATTTTTTATTCAAGTTTGTTTGGAAGATGTGCTTTTGGAAACAAAGACATTGCAGATTCAAGATAACGATACTCAGTTATCTCCTCAAAATGTTCAAATCATAACTCGCGTACTACCTACTGAGGTTATCACTCAAACTATTGTTTACGAAGCTGATCATTCATTATCCCAAGATGAACTTGACGGTTTATTCGACAAACAAACAATCACTTCTACTACTGTGGTAATTTTATTTACTAATTATGGTTATATTTAGTTGTCATGATTTGTAGTTTTTTTTTTATAAGTTTTTTTTTATATACTTTAGACTTTTTAATATATTTGCATTTTTATCTTGCTTAATATATATTTATCTAATTTACGTCTTTAAATGAATTTTGATCTTTTATGTTCATAAAATATTTTTCCTTGTACACCTTAAAAAAAAAAAATTTCTATCCATTATAAAATGACAAACTTTTTATACAGTTTTTTTATACAGATTAATGACAAAAACTTTACATTTCAGACTACTACTGTTCAAAAAATTTCTGGTGAAACTGTAACTCATGAGACTGGTTATCAGTTTGAGAAGCCTGAAGACGAAATTGAAAAGGTATATTGATTTAAGTTCATTTGGTAAATCGAAATCTTTTTTGTTGTGAACAATAAAAAAACGATAAGGTTTATATTTTTATTTTTCAGGCGATTCATTCAGCTTTATTTCGCGCAAACAATTGCATAGAAAATAACGAAACAGGTTTTGTAGTTACTGAAGAGGGAAAAATAAAAGAAGAAGAAAGAAGTGGCATTGATGATGAAATGAGTAAAACATCAGGACTTAGCGGTGAATGTTGTGAATAAGTTCTTGCAACAAGAAAAGAAGAACATAATACTGTTGTGTATATAATTGTGTGTCTACCAAATCTTAATAAGTACTTGTAACCGAGCCTCCAATGATTTCGATAGATTTCGTTTATTTTTTATAATATGCACAAAGCACAAGTAATTAATTTTATCGATTTTTGCACATCAAGTTTATAACGCTGCTAAAAACTAACTGTAGTTTATTTTACTTGTTAAATGTTGTTTATGTCAATATGGTTTTCGAAGCCAAACCATTATTGACAGATTCTTTTGTTCAAATATATTGTAAATATGCTTATAAATGCAAAATTTTATAAAATTAACAGCTACCATCTCCTTTTTGCGGATTGCATTTTGAAAGTTTTATTTTTTATGTGTTGTCATGTAGTATATTGATTTTTGAAAATAAATGGTTTAAAATAGAAAAAGATGAAGCAAGTGGTTTAGCTCTATATAGCGATTTTATATAATTTTTGAAATTTTTTTTGTAGACTGTTTTTTATGAAAATTTCATCATAAACTTTCATAAAACTTCACTCCTAATAAGTATCAATGAGTAACTTTTAATAATAAATTTATTTATAAAAAAATTTACTTAATTTCAAATTAAGGAGAAAGATGAATTTAGTTTTATCCACCTTCAATGTTTGTTACTTATAATCGATTAAACCGTTCATTAATTTTGTATTTTAATGTCATTGTGTCGGGAGGCTGAATTGGCATAAGTGCGAAGCGTTGCAAAAACTGGAATAAGTGCAAACTGGCATATGTGCGAATCGGCATAAGTGCGCGTAAAGAATTTGCAAGCATTCAAATTGGCTTAGCGTAAGTGCGAATCGGCATAAGAGCGAAATAACAAGTCCCCATTGTGTGAATAAAAATTCATTTGCAAATAGAATGAAGTTTATAAAATTTAATAATAAATATCATTTAAGTACATGTAGCTTGAAATAGAGCTCTAGAGAATAGAGCCCAAAATTGAGCTCAAGTTATTGAGTCTTTAATTGTTTATATATAAGTTATTGTGAATTAAATATTTTGTTTTAAATTTCGCAATGATCAAGTTTATTTAGCAATATACAGTTAGAGAAATAAATGTCCGTATTTTTATTGTATAAAATTTAAATTTATCTGGCTATTTTCAGAAATAAAGAAGACTTTGATATATATAGTAAAAGTAAACGAAAAAAAGTGAACGTTTTAGCACATTTGTTTCTTTTGCATTTATTTAAAGCTAAGTTTGGTAAGTCAAAAATATCAACTTCAAAATTAAACTTTACAAAAATAAAAAATTTTATGACGATCAAGATTCTTGTTTCAAAATTGAACTTGTTTTTGATCCGGAAAATTGAACTTGTTTTTGATCCGGAAAAATGTCATAATCGCAAAACCGAAATGTTTTTTTCGGGGAAAGAGTAAACATGCTCATTGCTCACACTTATGAATTATGGATAAATGCAACACTTATGAATAATGATAAAAAAATGAAATCGGGCTGATTGGATATCTATATATAACGTAATTTCATCGTTACATAATTTAAGATTGCTTCATTGGTATATTATATAAAAGTCATTGTGAAATAAATACTTTGTTTTAAATTCCGCAATGATCAAGGTTCAAGTTTGTTTAGCAATATACAGTCAGAGAAATAAATATCCGTATTTTTATTGTGAAAAATTAAAATTTTTTGAATTATGAAAGGCTAATATTTAAAAAAAAAAACAACCTCAAAATCTCCCCCTCCTCTCTACTTTACTAAAATATTTGGATCAACCTAATCTCCCCTTCTTCCTCCCCCCCCCTCCTGATTTATTTCTATTAAGTTTTGCACTCCAGTAGCCTTTGCCATCTATCTAAAAAAAAAAATATTTTTATAATTACTCGTACTTACACTTGTGAAACGCAAACAACTTACAGTGAAGAGCGAGATTGCAACTTGCAGTAGAACAATCAAAAAAGGTGAAATTTCACTCAGTAAAGCTTCAGAGACATGCAACATACCAAAAGCAACTCTTTACAAGTGTGTTTATAACAAAGTATAATTACATGATAGAAGTACAACTACCGTGTCAAGTACAGCGTTTAAATCTGTTCTTGTTACAGTATCAGTTTAATTGATTGGGGGTTCGTAGATGTTATCAAAATAGTTGGTAGTTATTTGATATCTACAAATCAAATATTCATCTGCTTTCACCAAACGTTATACCAGGACGAGAATGGTATCAAGTTTATTTAATTATAAAAGGTATATTATGCGTCAGAGTAGCAGCCAGTATTTTGTCTCTCAGAGCTATTTCTTGTGCTGAGGACAATATAATAAGTTATTTCAATACACTTTAAAAACAATTTTTTGAAACAAATAATAACAAAAACACTTCGCACAATTTGTGGAATATTGACAAAATGGATTTTCAGGCAATCAAGGTAAATAGCATATAATTTGCAGGCTTGGTGCTAAACGCCCTTTAAATTTGCAGGTTTGGTGGCTAAACGCCCTTTAAAATTGGTTGGTAACAAAAAAAAAATTAATTATACAATTGGAAATTGTGTCCACGTTACCGGTACCGTTCTGCTACCATTTGTTATTTACAAATCAATATCACGTTTGTACAAAAACTGGGGAACCACCAAACACCGTATTTACAACATCCAAGTCTGGCTGGATGAAAGGAAAACAGTTTGTTTAATGACTACCAGCAATCAAATTAACTCCAGGTGGTTAGTTTGGTCTAATTAAAACGAGAAGTTTAACCAATAAAAAATAAATTACCAATTAAAAAATAAAGAACAGTTTTAATCATTTAAATCTTGTAAAAAATCTTTTTCAAATTTTATTGTGAAAAGTTATGAAACATTTTATAAAAGAGGAGGAAATAAATAAGAATTTGGAGGCTGGAAACAAATAACCCCCAAAATTTCATCCCTTCCTTACCATCTAAAATTTGTAACCTCAAATTGAGGGGGATTTAAACTTTATATGATCATAATTTTTGAACACTGAGAGATAGGGGGTGACGAAACTTTGGGTCTTATTTGTTCCCAGCCTCAAATCATTGCAAAATTTTGCAAAGCATCATTATTTGACATTAGTATAAAAATACAAATGTTTGGAGTTTGCTTCATGTCTAGAAGTTAGCTCAAACATTATTAAATCCTGGATTCGTCAATGAAGAGATTATTTATTATTTCTATTTATACCAAAAGTTTTTAAGTAAAAAGAAGAGTTTAGTAAAGAGTTTAAATTGTTTACGAGAAAAAAAAAGTTTTATAATTTCTCCTTGTATTGAAAGCGAGAAAACTACATCATCTAGTACTTTCAGTTTTAATGTTGTCTAAATAACTTTTCTAAAATGCCAATTTCATCTAGAAAATTGTACTTTAAATGTGTCAAATGTGTTTTTTTCATTTAAATATAGCCCATAAAATGGAAAAATAGATATTTAATTGTCAAAAATAGTCATTTGATACACCCTAATATTAATGTTTTAGACTAAAACAACAGAGAGCACTACACTATGAAATTCTCGAGACCTCAAACAAGTTATAACCTTATGATAAAAATACTTTGCAGCTACATTACTAAGGTGTCCAGAATACGAAGGAGTCGGGGACAAGTCAAAGACTCCAATCAACCTGAGAAGACCAAGGAGCTTTTGATGTACTAATGTATGATGTATGTCATTACCTAGATTTTTAGATATATGTAAAAAAAATATGTTAATAAAGTTCAACTTTATTGAACGTTATTTGTTTATATTTACGATGTCAAAGAACTTAAATACATAAAATAAATCACGAAAATATCTTGACAACCCATGACCACACCTACTTGTGCAGTTATAACCACCCCTTGAGGCCAATTATGGCCAGATTTAATATTCCTGATATTAATTGCTTAAATTTAGACATACAACATATACCATCTAATTGAAAAATCATCAGGATGCTTCAGAACCACCAATAACTACCCCTAAAATGATCACTTGAGCGGTCATGACCACTCTTGAAGATCGAATATCCCCATTTTCAAATTCCCTGACCTTAATTATTTATATTCAAACATACAACATGTCCCATCTAACTGAAAAACATTGGGTCATCAAAGGACCACCTTTGACCACTACTAAAATGACTATTTGAGCGGTCATGACCCCTTCTAAAAATCAAATATGCTCAGACTTGAATTCCCTGACAGCAGTTACCTATATTTATATATGCAACATGTCCCATCTAATTTAAAAACCATCGAGAAACCCCATTACCACCCTTGACAATCCCTAAAATAACCATTGTGTGGTCGTCATCACTCGTCATCAACTCTCATAACTTAACAACAACACCAGTGACTCCCGCTCAAATGTATCAAATGTTGCAACACCTCAGAGAAAGACGTCCGAAGTGTTCGAGAAACCAAGACAATGAGGCCAAAAAGTCAATGTAATTAAAGAAGTTACAGCCAAGCTTAAGATGAAACTCAACAAGTCATAACCTTTATAACTCAACAAACCTTTATAAATAACAATAAATATTCAAAAAAAAAAAAAAAAACATTCCAAAAACCCTAGACAAGACAAAGACATCAGGAGGTGAGAAAGTGTTGCAGAGTTTGTGAAGAAGCATTGCTAACTCAAAACAACATGTGGTATCAATGTGAAGCTTATAGTTTTTTGTATGAAAAAAATGGCGCGGACCTGCTTCTGACAATCAAAAAACTCAAATTTGTTTAATAAATAGTTTTTTTCGTATATTTAATTAAAATATATTTTTTTTATAAACTTAACTTCTAATAAGATAAGTTTTAGTTTTTAATTAATTTAACTTGATTTTCTAATTATATTAATGTTTTTAAAATTTAACTAGTTTTATTCTTCATAAAAATTGATTTTATTAATAATTTATAACAATGGTATACAAAATATGATTTATCACCACCGTCTCACTTACCTAACCTCAAAAAACCAATGTAATTAACTACTATGTTATGCTAACCAGCTTCAGACGTTAGCCGTTGTTGCACTTTTGATAGTAAATTTATTTTTGATCAAAATTTATGAATCTAGTTTGAAAAAAGCTAAAATTTTAGTCACTTTAATGAAATTGTGATGCGTTGACTACTTAGTTTTTGTTTGTCTTTTGTTATTTAGGTGCCCTAAGAAGACCTAACGGTCTTGTCACAGAGTACCTCAAAAATGCATTTAACCAGGAAGTTCACTCCTTCTCCCTTACCGTGACGCGAAAATATGTCCAGAGTTCGTTTCGAACCTCGATCTCCTGCTTGTAAAGCAAGCGCTCTAACTTCTGCACCACGACCGCATAATTT